TACTGTGTAATAGGATAAGCACTTGTTTCGCTTTAGTAACTATTACTAAACCATTTTCCAAAGTGATTGTACCAAGTCACACATTCCCTCCCCACATTCTCACCAGTCTCTTGCCATATTCTGTGTAATTACAGCCATTCTGCTTGGTGTATATAGTGGTATCTTACTGAGTTTCAGTTTGTATTTCTCTGATGAGTAATGTTGAAACCTTTTTGTGTACTAATTGGCCATTGGATAACTTCTTTTATGCTGTGTACATGCAAAATCTTTTTACCTTTTCTGATTGGATTGTATTTTTCTTACTAATTTGTAGGAGCTTGTTGATGATGATACTCAAGTCTTTAGTTGATACATGTCCAGCAGATACCTTAGCCTATCTGTGATTTGCCTTTTCACTCTCTTAATAGTATGAGAACATGATGTTCTTAATTTTAGTGAAGTTTGCTTTGTCATTATTTCTGTACCCACCCCATGGTCTTGAAGATATTCTTCTGTGTTTTCATTTGCAAGCTTTATTGTTTTTCTCTAGCAATTAGGTGAATGAATTTTTATAAATTGGGTGAGGTGAAAGTTTGGGTTTTTTTCCCTATGTAGATTTCCAGTTTCAGCAACGTTTATTGCATTTTTCCCTCACAGAATTGCAGTGGTGCTTTTGATATTAATCAAGTAATATTCTCTCTCTCTCTCTTTATATGTGTATCTCTTTCTAGATTCTTTATCTATACTTGTGCCATTCCACAGTTTTGAATACAATAGCTGTATAATTAGGCTTAATGTCTGGCAATCTACAGCCTTCCACTTTGGTCTTCTTTAAGATTGCTATTCTGGATCCTTTGTCTTGCCTATAAATTTAGGAATCAACTTGTCAATTTCCTAAAAAAAAAAAAAAAAAAAAAACACCTGAATTTGATTGGTACTATATTAAATCTATGGATTTGGATGGAATTTATATCTGAACAATAATGTGTCCTCTAGTTTATGAAAATGAAATGTATCTCCATTTATTTAGGTTTTATTTTTACATTGTCAGAGTATGGCCTTTAATTCATGTTGTTTGATGCTGTTGTAAATCTCACTTTGTTAAATTTCATTTTTAAGTGCTTGTTGCTAATGCATAGATACATCATTTAGGTTTTTTTATGCTAACCTTGTGGCAGTGACCTTCATATATTTACTTGCTAATATTTATTACTTACTGTAGAATTCTTGGATTTAATTTCCTGTATAGATAAATTGTGTCATCTACAAATAACGACAGTTTTACTTCTCCCCACCACTCTTTGTATTTTCATTTTTTTTCATGCTTTATTATATTGTCTGGAACTCTCCAAGTACAGTGCAAAATTGAAGTAGTGAAAGTAGATGGCCCTATCTTCTTTTTAATTCAGAAGGAGAGCTTCAGTATTTTCTACTTTGAGTACTTCTTACTAAGTCAGTTAACTATATATTTGTTTTGACCTCTGCCTATAAGCAGAAGCAGCAATATTGAGGATGTCTTAGACCTTTTTGGATTTTTCTTCTTTCTCTCAGGATGTTTAATATTCTTAGAAAATTTCTATTTCACATGGAACATTGAGTCCTTAAAAACTCAAAATTTTTTCAGTGATTACTGAGAGGATTATGGTGACATTGGAGATATTTTGGGGGTTTTGATTAATTAAACATTAATGGAATTTTCATTTGATAGATTTCAAGATTTATTGTTGCTTTAATTTGAGCCTTTGATAGTTTGTCAGATTGCTATTAGTTTTATAAGTATAGAATGTTAAGACTTTGGCTATCACCTAGTTTAGTGGTTCTCAACTGTGGACAGTTTTGCTCCCCGGGAAACAGTTGGCAATGCCTGAAGACAGCTCAAGATAATTTTGATTGTCACAAGTGGCAGAAAAAGGGTGCAAAGGTAGAAGCCAGGAATGCTATTCAACATCCTATAGTGTATAGGACTGCTTCCCAGAGAAAAGGGTTTTTAGGTCCAAAATTTCAGTAGTACTGAGGTTGGAAAGCACTGATCTAGTTCAGCCGCTTCATTTGATTTAAAAAAAAAAAAAAATCCCACAAATGTGAAGTGATTTGCTTTTATTTATTTCAAGTAGATAATTCACTTCCTGTATTTATGGATAAGAATAGTTGCCATTATTCTTAACTCATATGAGGGAAATACATTGTCTCTATTCCCCAAGAAGATAAGTGTTGTTATATAGATAAGGACAGGGAGGTATATGGAAAAGGAATGTTTTGGGTGATGGGAAGTTTGGTGTTGGACATACAGGAAATGCCTGACAGTTATTTACGCTGCAGTATAATTTCATTTCTACATGTTCTGTCTTCAGTGAAAATGGTGAGAAGTTTATCACATTCCTTGGAAAGTTAATTTAGAAAAACAGTGTAGTGTATCTGGGTGAGTGCTGGATTGTTCTTCAGAAGTGGGTTTTAGCTCTCCCTGGCGACATGATTGATTTTGGCCAACATCTCTTCATCTCTAAAGTGGGCATGTTGGATTTGGTGTTCCTTAAGGTGCCTTTTAGTAATACTTTGTGGCTCTGAATTTAAATTATCTCCTTAGCTTTTCTCCCACAGCTCTGCCTAAGATTTTTATATTGCGGCCCTGCTAACTCATAAAGATTTTTCACATTTTCCTTTGCCTACAGGGAATTTAGATGCCAGAGATTGTTGGACCAAGTGTTCTTTGTCCCCTTTTGTCCTTGCTTCTTGCACCTTACTGGGTTCACAGATGTAGATGGAAAAGTATAAACATTCCTGCTGACATACTGTTTCTGGTAACAAAAGTGATCACTATTTTGTTGCCCTGTCTAATAAGTTTAAAAACACTGCAAGTACTGGGGTGTTTATTTTTAAAGTTTTTTAAATTTTTAAGTATAAAAAAATCTTTGAATCTGTATCCTAGAAAATGTTTACCTTTCAGTCCATCCTGAATATTCATTGGCTTTTCAAAGACTCAATAAAGCTAGGCTGGGCAGAGAAGCAGAAACCACTTCCCTGAGAGATACCTCTCTTTTCCAGCTTAGTGTAGCGCCAGTTCCCACTTAGAGAAATATAGAAGAACCCACAGTTTCGGCACTTCCAGGGAAGGCACTAAAGTACTGCCTGGGAATTAAGTACACACATCAATCAAACTGATAAGTTTTATCCCCAGTTAATATATAATAAAATATTAACAAAGCCAAATCAAATGAGTTTTTAGTTTGGCTATATAAGTGGAAAGCAATTTTGAGGTCTGTTGCATAAAGAATTCCAGTTCCGTGGTAGGGTAGCAAATAAATGGGATTGGGGGCAGGGTGACAAGAGGGGAGATAGATAAATCACCCGTTATTATCTCATTGCTATCAAATGTGGTTCTTTAAGGCCAATGTAGTGGCTTTATCAGGTTTCCTAATAGTTGAATTTCAAGACCTGCTTAAGAAATAAATAGGTATGAATATTAGTGAATAAACTTGAAGGTGCTGTCCTGTAATGTGAGCAATTTGTAGTAACTAACAATAAGGTCCTGTAAGAGTCCAGTGTTGGTTTTTACTTAATAAAATATTTAATCATAAATGTCTGAATTCTGAATCTCCCACAGGAAGGCATTTCCATGCCCACTGACAAGAATAATTTAGCAGTTTCATAGTTGAGCGCTTAATTACTCATAATTGTGAAGGGTAAGATGTGATAAATTCTTCCTCGATGGACATACTAAATATTTTAACTAAGTAGATGACTTAAAGTAAATTAAGCTAGTGAGATCATTTAAAATTACATTGGTTAAAAGCAGTTTAAGGAATGTATTAAGTCCGGCGTACCATTAGATGATAATGTGTGTGTGACTATTTCTGCTGTGTGACTATGAGCTGCACCGTTGGGATAGATGGTAGATTTTTGTAAATGTGGTTGGGAAGTAAGTATTAATAAATTGGTGGGATTTGTGGGTTTGTTTTCTTATGTTTTGCTTGAGTCACTAATGAGGATCCTTAGCTTGGTGTAGAGCTTGGTTAGTAGAAAAATGTGCTATGTCCGTTTGCTTGGTGTGAGTTTTTGTGCTATATCAGGACAAAGTAAGGGACTTGACAGTGAAGACTCTCCATTGAACCTTGTTGGTGTCTTTTTTTTTTTTTTTTTTTAAAGATTTATTTATTTATTTATACAAGCACTGGGCACAGTCAGAAGTACGGGAGGGTGAGAGAATTCTCCAGAGCCTGAGCGGGGAGCAGAGCAGGCAGAAGGACCGAAGGACACTGCTGAGGGGAGCAGCGGGCGGCAGGAGAGGTCTGCGCGCCATGTGGGACCCTCCTCCTGTGGCCGGGGAGCAGCCGGGGATCAAACCGGCGCCACAGAGGCTGCGGGCAGCTTCGCAACCCAGCGCCCAACCGCTGCGCCACCGGGGAGGCCCTTGTTGGTGTCTTCTTAAGGGAAAGTGACCTAATTTATATAGTAACATAGGCAGCAGTCAAAAGGTAGAATAAAGAAATAAAGATACAAGCAAAAAGTATTTGTGAAGTGCTCTGTTTAATTTCTGAATTAGGAGGAAACTTACATTTTGGACTAGAGGAAACAGGAAATCAGGTACTTTAGGAGTTAGCTGATTATGTCACTGCAGCAACAATTGGTTCATATTGTAAATGGCTCAAGAGCCTCCTGCTTACCATCAGGGAAGGTTGAAACAACTTATCTCATTAAGTTAAGCTTCTTCCCTTGAGTGTCTTATTTAGCTTTACTTCTCTTAATTCTTGTTCCCTGGTGATTTGGGTAAAATGTCTGAAAGCACTAAAGGTAAAAGGTTGAAGCAATCCCAAATTTAATAATCTATCACCTTTCTTTAGTGTAGTTGAGTGCAATTCCCTGAAGTTCTTAGCAAATTCATTAGAAGACAGCAAGTCATTAAAAGTTAATAAGAAACTATTTGTTTCTGTGAGTGTGAATAAAACCACTTTATAAGTCTGACATTCTTTTCTACTTATAAAAACCTTGCTTTTAGCCAATTTCCATTTTCTCTGTCTCTCTAGGTTACTCCTAGACGGGGCGCCTCTGATAGCAATCCACAAAGCCAGGTATTACAAGAGAAAAGATGGCTTAGCTCTGGGGCCTGGACCCTTTGTGACTGCTTTAGAATATGCCACTGACACCAAAGCCACGGTAGTGGGGAAGCCGGAAAAAACGTTCTTTTTGGAAGCATTGCGAGGCACTGGCTATGAACCTGAGGAGGCTGTCATGATAGGAGATGTAAGTAGAAGAGTCCAGATATCCAGCATCACCTGTCATACTGGGAAGAGCCAACTTTAAAGCACTGCTTCGTAACACAACATCAGGTCACGCTAAGTGGCTCCCTCTCTGACAGTCTCTCCAGTAGATGTTTAGTGGTGGTCTTCTAAAGAACTGAAGCTTTGATTACTTCCAACATTCTTCATAGTGTGATACAATTAAAAAAACCATTCAATGCAAGTCAATTAAATACTTTATATCTTTTTGAAGAAAACCTATAGATTTTTTTTAAAATATTACTAATGCAGGGAACAACCTATACTGAAAGAATTCTACCATTATTGATTTCTTTCTTAGAATATGCTTTGTGGAAGAACTTCCCAGTATGTCACAAATAGCTAAACATAGCAATTACTTCAGCCCTGCGAGTGGCAGGACTGAACCTGGGTGGTTGGAGGCTCTAGCCGATCACCTCCAGCCCTGAGCACCTGTCGGTTCACCCCAGTTTACTGGGCAAATATTTTTCTATGTGCTGTGACAGGAAGAGAGCTGGGACGTATAATGCCATGTGGAAAACAGCTAGCAAAAATTATATGTCAAGTTTAAATTATATTTCAAGTTTAAATAATTCCATCCTAATAAGCATAAGCCTGGAAGGGGCCTATTGAGATTGTCAGAGCTCCTCATTTTACAGACTGGAAAGTTGAAGCCTACAGAGGTAAATCTCCATGCCTAAATCCTCACAGCCAATTAGTGACACAGCTAGAAGCCAGGACTCTCTCCAAAACAAACTACAGATCCATGGCATTGTTAACTTGCAGTGGTGCAGCAGTGTCAAGTCCTCCTGAACTAGTCTTCCTTTCCTGTACCCATTCACCTAACACTGGGCCAGATAATCATTGGACTGTTTTGAGAATCATCTCTTCGGGCACAACTTTCTCTTTTGGCAAGCCTTTTGCTGACTCTCTTAGGCAAATGTGTACTTGAAAAAGTAATTATCTGAACCTTGAGACTTGAGAGTTCTCTATCAGGAAATCCTGGTATTGGGAAGGGTGGAGAGGGAAGGGCATGAGATGGCAGCATTCGGCTGCTTGGAGGGGATACAGGCAGTTGCCCGGGAGAGAGGTCGTGTCCTTGTCTCTGTCCACTCTGCCCCACCTCCCTGCTTCCTGCTTCCCTCATCTCCCCTGCTTCGACAGGGCAAGTTTAGATGCAAAAAAAGGTTTTAAATTAGGCCTTGAAGGAAGATTTTTTGATATTCTGTGTCTCATTTCCAAGACTGTTGTTGAGTAATATTAAAAGTTTTTAGGTGGGAGAACTTTCCTTTGGGCACAGTTTGAATAAATCCTGCTTATGGACATGAGATGGCAGGGTTGAGTTTCTTGCTGTTTCTTCCACTCCATGCATTTTTATTACCTTGCATTTATCCTCACAGTCAACCAAGTTTGTTCATCCCTTACTTGAGAGAAGATCTCTTTTCAGGTTGATCTGTTACTCCTAAATGTGACTTGAATGTCAGACAGTCACAGAATCTATTTAAATATAGTCATTTGACTGGATTCCACCTGTTAGGGTTGATCGGATGCAAAGTAATGACAATAATTAGCAGCAGTAAACCTATATTCTGAATATAGTGCGTTCTCTGTCTGTAGCTGGATCATTCACCTTAAAAGTTGCCAAAAGGATAGAATGATTTTTCCATGATCTGTTTTAAGAAAAGATAGGTATACCTATGGCAAAACATGCTCTTTGCATTTGGTTATTGGGGTTCATACTCTCCTATACACCTTATACCTCTATGATATGTGCCTTTCCAAATAGTATGCTGCCTTGGACTTAACTCTTGTTTACATTCTCAGAAGAAGAAAAAAAAAAATCATTACAGGTAGCCATTTCAGTCTAACAAATCATAGCAAACAGTAGGGTTTTGTTGGCAAGCTAACCAGATACGTTGGACTAATTGCTTTCTTTATGTTTTTCTAGGATTGCAGGGATGATGTTGGTGGCGCTCAAGATATTGGCATGTTGGGTATCTTGGTAAAAACTGGTATGTATGTTCTGAATAAGCCTTCTCTCAAACAGATTGGTAGAACACACAGTTGCTTAAAAATCAGCCTTTGCAGAAAATACCACTTCTTCCTTTTGGGCTTTGCAAAGCCCAAAAATGAAATGAGCTTGGGCTTGCAGGGAACAAAGACATCATGGGGGACCCATGCTGTGCCAAACAAGGGAGATTCGAGCTCAGAGATAACTCAGAGATAACTACACACACTTGATGGTTCATGTTTATATGATTTTCTAGATATACATATCAACACATTGGAACGGGCTAAGAGACCATTGATTCATGGTAGTCTTTACTTTTCGTGCCAGTTGTAAGATGAGAAAGTTGATCTCTTTAGGAACTGGCCAGCTAAGTAATCTAATAGTTTAATCTTGGTATTAGTATTGGCATTTTTTTTAAAAAACACAAATCTTTTTTCTTATCTTTTCTCTATGTTATAGGATCTAATTTTTTTTATTTATCTCTTACATCATTGTGTATTCCCTGTAAAATTCCTGCCACCCGTGAACCTTCACCATAGTCCCTTGTGCTCTTCTCTCCCCTGTTTTGATCCCTTTTCCTCCCCTCCTTCACAGGATGTCTCTTATTTATGGTTACCGGCTAGTCTTTTTTTTTGTTTTTCCCCCTGATCCCTTATTTGGTTTCCCTGTATTCCTCCTATAAGTGAAACCATTCTATATTTTTCTTTTTCCTTCTGGCTTATTTCGCTGAGCTTGATCGCTTCTAGCTCCATCCATGTTGCTGTGAATGGCATGGGTTTATCTTTTTTAATTGCTGAATAGTATTCCATTGTGTATATGTACCACATCTTCTTGATCCAGTCATATATTTTTGGGCATTTGGGTTGTTTCCATAGCTTACCTATTGTAAATAGTGCTGCAGTAAACATAAGGGTGTAGGTTATCTTTTTGAATTAATGTTTTTGTGTCCTTTGGGTAGATTCCTAGGAGTAGAATTGCTGGGTCATATGGTAGCTCCATTTTTAGTAGTCTGAGGAAGCTCCACACAGCTTTCCATAGTGGTTGGGCCAGTTTGCATTCCCACCAGCAGTATAGGAGAGTTCCTTGTTTTAGGATCTACTTCCTGTACCAAAATAAGGTGTACTCTATGTGGCCCCTCAAAAAAATTAAGGGAAAGCAAGGAATTAATTGGGGGAGGACTTAGCCAATCCAATGTTATAACTCCAGTGGGCTGGTTAAGTGTCCTGGGTCCTGGTCCCAGCTCGTTCTGTCTCTGAAAGGCTCTGGTCAACGCTCTTACCTCTTTGGGCCATTTAATAAGGAGGGTGTTAGACTGGTCCCTTCTCGTCTGACAGTATATGAATCTATGCTATTTTCCTGTGGGAAGTGATTAATAAAGCCCTTTCAAGGTAGTAAAAGAACAGGCATGAGAGTTATGTGTGAGGCTGAAAGCTGTTGCATTGAAAGCTTAACAAACCTTCCAGATACCATGAAAAGATCCCCCTCATACTCTGTCCCTGCCAGACAGCACTAGTTATACCTGCTGAGCTTGAAACTATTAGCACAGGGGTAAGCATGTCAGCCACAAGTCTTGTCCAGGAATTGTCATTGGACTCATATTAATCCAATGGCCGATAAGTGGTCCATTGATGGCTCTGTGAGCTCATTTGCTTGGTTTCATATAATGGTAGTGAAATTATTTAATGGGCTATTCATTATAGGGAATTTAAACATAACATCACAGAAGAACTACCACTGGGAAATATTTTATAAAAAGTACATCTATTCATGACTATGACACTTGCTTAAGAAAATGTGGTTGGTAAAAACCATTTGGAATTGAAAAATAGAAACAAGAAAGCTTAGAAGCAGCTAAACTTGCATCAAAAGTATTTGGCAAGACCATATATTAGCAAAGAGTTGAAAAATCAGTGTCTGCTCCTGCCAGGGATCAGTGTGGAAGCACTGAAACCCTGCAGATAGTGACACCAGTCACGCTAGTATTAACAACGTTTCTTTTCAGTCAAAGTGAACATCACCATTGTATGAACATTACTGCCCATTGATGTCAGCCAAAAAAAAAAAAAAAAAAAGAAATTAAGAAGTAAAGCCATACTCATCCTCCCCCATGTCTTTATTTTCGATTTCCTACCAGCCCCCATTTTCTGATAACTGCTTTTGGGCTGTGTGTTATTCCTAGGAACACTGCCTTTTACCCTTTCACTGAGTATCAAAGCTGAGCCTGTGCCAGTGTCTTGTAGACCCAGCGCCCCTGGTTGGTCTGCATTGGCTCTGCCCTCTTTATGACCATCCCGTCATGGAGACATTAAGTTAGTCTTAGGGAAGCAAAATGCAATTAGACCTGAAATATGTGATTAGTAAAGCAACTAAGTCCAACTCTTAAAAATTGGCCCATTTTGTTGTTTTTTTTTTTTTTTAAAGATTTATTTATACAAGAACTGGGGTACAGGCCAGATGCACAGGAGAGTGAGAGGATTCACCAGAGACAGAGCAGGGAACAGAACAGGCAGACTGACTGAAATACACTGTTTAGGGGAGTAGCGGGACAGCAGGAGAGGTCTGCCTCGCCATGTGGGTTGCTCCCTGGCTGCCGGGGATCGAACTCGTGCCTGCAGAGGCTGTGGATTGCTTCCAAGTGCGGTGCTTAACCCCTTGTGCCACCAGGGAGGCCCTACTGGCCCATTTTGCACTGTAGGTCTTTGGTCAGGAAAAATCCTGGGGGGCGGGGGGGTGAGAAAAATTCCAAGTATGCCTGCTATTCTGGAAGCATGCAGAACAGCCAGCATCATTGAAAAATGAAGAGCAAGTAGAAAGCGCTAGGTGTCCTGTGTTGAAAATTACTAGAAAGATTTGAATTTATAGTCACTGGTAAGTGCTTTTTGTGGACATTTAAGCAATTTTGTTTCTCAATGAGTAGCACATAGGTGTTCAATATACATTTGTTTAGTGATCTGTTAAAAAAAGACTTGACTAGTCTTCATCAGAATTAATTTGTTTAGCATGTAAAACAGTCACCCAGAAAAGATGGGGTCACTCTGTTATCAGCAACCTCCCGTGTTCTTTCGCCACTCATCTTCCACCCGGGAGAGTACTGACAGCCGCAGCGCAGAAGTCACGCATGGTGATGACTGGGCTTCATTCACTCAGCCAACATTATCAAGCACCTGCTGTATGCCAGACAGTGCTGGAGCTGTGAACGCGCACACACACACACACACACACACACACACGGTCAGGTAATACTCTGTAGAAACCCTACTTGCAGGGCCAGGCTAAGCAAAACCCTTGTCTCCATGGCTAAAAAAATTGCCTTTCACCTGCTTGCCCTTACACCACTGGACCCGGGATAGGTTGTATAGCAATAGGTAGTCACTAACTGAACCCATGACTCTAAGTACAAACCTTGTAGTTATTCTTCATAGGACTTAAGCTTGAGGAAAACGCTAGCAGTAGAGTTCGCTGCATGGGCCACCTTGAGAAGGCAGCAAGAAGACAGGAGGCATCTCCCCACCACAGGGCAAACATAGGGAATAGGAGGGGTGTCCAGGCTTCTTGTTTGCTGGGCAAAGCCTCCCAAAGTGGTAGCTGGAGAAAATGGGAGGAACTGTAGAAATTGGTAGGTCCGGATTAGGCAGGATATACTGACAAATGAAGAATAGATAGCAGAAGTCACAGAAGAGGAGAAAGAGAAAGTACAGAGGCAACAGTGGTGGCTGCAGGGCCACTGGCCTTCCCCGAAGCGGTGCCGAAGCAGTGCTCCGCGTTTCCTTCCTCCCCCTCCATCCTTTTTCTTTTTCTTCCTCCCTTCTCCCCTCTCTCCTTCCATCTTTTCCTTCTATTCTTACAGAAGGTGGTGGTGGAGTGCCCACCACACATTAGTCATTACGTCAGGCGCTCAGGATACAGTGGGGAATATAACAGTCAGGAAGGGGGTGTAATTTGAATGGAGGGTGGGGTGAGACCTAAGTGTGGGGACCTAAGGTAGTCAGATGAGGAGAATGGGAAGGGGGTGCCAGAGGTAAAGGTTCTCGGAAGAGCCAGATGCAGTCTAGAACTGCAGCCTAGAGAAGCCGCACGTGCCAAGGTCACCAGGGTGCTGGGGCCCATGACAGAGGCCTGCTAGGCAGGAATACAGCTGTTGACTTCTTTCTGGAGGGCGTTGGGACCCATTAAGGGTGTAATTGGGACCATGCCTCTTCTGACTGTAGTTGCCAAAACTCTATGTGTGGACTGGTTCCTCTTCTGTGTTGGGGTATTGTGTCTTGAATTCCAAAGCCCAGGGAGAGGTAAGCAGTGCCTGCCCCGCGATGCCCTGCTGCGCAGCCTGTCCTGCCTGGCCCAGCCTGTGAGCATCCATCACTCTTCCTTCATGACCCCAGGCGTTCGCACTTGCCAAGTCCCTGCTGGGCTGCAGCACACGCTGTTTCCAGTCACCCTCAGGAGCCCACAGGGCTTCTGCCCCGTGGGTCTGGGCTTCCATTTAAAAGCATTGATTTAATCACCATTCCTATCTTTAGGGCTGGTGGGGGGAAAAATTTCCATCAACTGTTCAGATTCAAAGGAAACCTTAGCTTGTCAGGTGACCCAGTACCTGTGAGTGCCCATTGCGAAAGACCAGAGGGCCTGGGAAAATGCTGAATGTGATTTTTCTATGAATTGCCTCATTGCATCCTGACGCCTCACAAAAAGATGCTTTGGGAGACGCGGAGCCCCCAGTTCTGTAGTAATTGTGCACTGGTTCTGGGATGGCCCAGATGCTCCAGGGTGTGATTAATGTGGCATTCTAGCAGTAGCCTCTGTTCACTGGCTTCCACTCTCATTGCAGGGAAATACCGAGCAGCAGATGAAGAAAAAATTAATCCACCTCCTTATTTAACTTGTGAGAGTTTCACTCATGCTGTGGACCACATTCTGCAGCACCTACTGTGAACCGTTACGGGAATTGGAAGCAACTTGAAACGCAGCTTTTCATGGTCCGGAATGAATCCCCCACCATCTCAGTGCCACGTAGACAGACACAAACCATTCAGCACTGATCACGGGTGAACCCTCTGTCATTGTGCATTAATTAGGAAGAAGGGTATTGAATTGCAACCACTAAGCCTTGCTAATCCCTTTTGTTTTATTTTTTAAAAGAAGATGAGACCCAAAGAAAGGGAAAACAGAGATTTTTATACCATTCCTTTTAAAATATTCATTAGGTTAGGCAGGGCTGGGAGGGAGAATCTACTGCAGGGAGTCATGTTCTCTGCTGTATCCTCACTAATAAGGTGGGGGATTCAGATTGTGGACGATGGTGAATGGTGTTTTTTAAATTATAAAGCAGTGCATTGAAAGGTGCATTAAGCTGTAGTTTTAATACTGAATTCAACTGTGAAATCCATCACAAGTGCCAAGTGGAATACAAGAGAGAAGAAGCAAAATAAATTGTCCTTTAGCCCAAGTGATTGAGTGAATTTGCTTTAACTGGTGTTGAAACTAGATTATCTACTGTGTTATTCCCAACACGAGTGACTTCTTTTTTCTCTTCATTAGCTAGAGATGACTAATTTAAATTTAGAACCTGATTTTAATTTAAAATAATATTTCCATTAATAACCTATTCATTGTAGATACCTATTATACTGTGTAACAGTTGTTTTGGAAATTTTATGTAAAATTAAAACTATCAGTATTTTACAGATGTTTTAATTAGACATTGTTATTAACAGGAACAGTGCAGAAACTAAAATCAAGCCTTTAATGTCTTATAGACCATGCATTTTTGAAGTTAGTGTCCACCAGGGTCCTATTAACTGTACATTTGCAAGATTTCATTATTTTTGCCTCTGACACTTTGGGAAAAATCTTTTAGAAGCTATTGGGACAGATTCAAGCTTTTATGTACTTGGTTACTACAGCTGTAAAATGAAATCTCCTCTTGTAGCATGGATTATTCTTCTCGTGTAAACCCTCCAAAATGAAGGGAACTAAGTAGGTAATGATTTTCCTAGTGCATTTGCATACTGTGATCATCCTAGGCCTTTGCAATTGTTTTACAGGGCTCTTGGGCATTGAATTATTAGCATGTAATTGTACATCATTGTAGTGTTCACCTTATTGAAGCACACACTGATGTTAATGAGCTTCGGGTTTTGATGCTTGTTTAGAGATCAACTTGGTCTTGGATGGAGGAAGCAAAACTAAATAAATGGCATCTCTTTCTCTTGGTCGTTTCGTGAGCACTGTGTTCTTGTTTTTGCCAGTGCCCCAACTTAGTGCTTAAACATCCTTGATTAGAAAGGGTGGATGACCAGGACCGACCACCACCTCAGACCCAAAGGGTGAGTGGAGTGGCAGAGAACATCGACTTGGGGGCAGCCAGCGCCTAACAAGCCTGTGACCTCGAGTGAGTCACCAAGCCTCTCCTGCCTTCTTTCCCTTATGTGTAAAGTGGAGGTAACACAGTAGTGCCCACCACTGGGCCTGTTGTGAGAGGTAAAATACACGACCCACACTTCAGATACTTAGAGTGGAATCGGGCAAACGCTAAGTACCATGTGTTTGTGATGCTGGTGGTGCAGGTATATGGTGCAGGTATATTGTCTGCATTTAACAATATGAAAAGGGTTGGTAAAATTCATCTCTACAGTCAGTTCAGTGGGAAAAGTCCTCCTGAGAATTAGAAAAGATATCCTACTACATTTGAACTTCCTCGGGGCAAATCACAGAGTGACGCTCAGTGTTCAGCAGAGAATGCTATTTAATGCCTGGGGGGGGGGGCCCGGGGGAGGGGGCCTGTTACCTGGATTCCTGGGTCAGTGATTCCTTGGCACAAATATTATTGAGTATTTATTTCCTAGTTGCTACCTGCCATACTGGGATCCTTATAATCAAGCCTATAAGAAAAGGATTTTGAGTTGAGCCTAGAAGAACACACAAGACATCATGAAGATTCCAGAGTCCCTCTGTGATGCCCTCCTGACTGCAGGGAGGAGGGTTGCTCCCAGTTGTGCCCATGTAGCACTTGTTAGAGGGAATTTAGGCCTCCATATGTCGCTCTTCCCATGAGGCAGAGCTTTTTTATATCTGCTATAACACAGGCACTCAGCTCCTGAACCAATAAACTCTAACTGTAAATATTGTAGGAATTTAATGCTAGAAGGTCTATCTGTGGGAAGGAAGAGAAAACAAGTTTCATTTTAGACTGTTGCCCCTAGGGGAGCCCTGCAAAACACTTGGAAGTATTGGAGCTGGTGCTCTGGAGACAGGTGAGAGCTAAAATGAGGAAGTTGACATCACTGATGGGTCTGGAATGAGAGACAGACAGAGACACAGGACCAGGTGAGATCACCTGAGCGTAATAGACCCAACCAAGAGAAATCGCTGCTCTTCTTTCCTCCATTTTAGTTTAGCCCTATGAGCCATTCAGATGTTAGTTTGATATTTTATTTGCTTAAAAATTATCTGGGCTTGCTAACTGACTTGTCCAGTGAGCTTCATGAGGATGACTAAAAACCTTGTTTTATCCAAGTTACTGGAAACATTCCCAGCTCAACTGGTTGGTCTGCTTTGGGTCTCACGGAGGAGATTTAATGACTAAATAGCTAAAGGACTTTATTTTCCAGTCATTGCATGGAGGAAAGTTTAATTTAATCCAAATGAGGGCACTGATTAGATGCCTACCAGAACTTGGAACAAAATGACAGGAGTTAACTCAGTTCAGTGGAACACAAGGCGGAGGTGGGGGCTAGATGATCTAGAGCTATCCTTGAGGACATAGCTTTTGCTATAAGCCTGTCCCGGGGTCATAAAAGGAACTAAGTGACCTCACTCTCTAAGTGACAGCTCCATCAAACAGCCGGAGCCATGGATGTCAGCCATCCCTTTGCCGTGACAGTGTCATTACTTTGTCCTTAGTCGCACATTTAGAAATCACAAAAGGGCCTTCCCGGTGGCGCAAGGAGTTAAGACACAACCTATGAAGCTATTCACAGCCACTGCAGCACGAGTTCGATCCCTGGCAAGGGAGATACCCACATGGCACGCAGACCTCTCCTGACTCGCCCACTGCTCCCCTCCCTCAGCAGTGTATTTCAGTAGATCCTCCTGTTCTGCTCCCTACTCTGTCTCTGGTGAATCCTCTCACCCCCCACCTCTGGCCTGAATCCCAGTTCTTGTATGCATAAATAAATCTTAAAAAAAAAAATTGCAATAGCTTGTTGGACAGGAAAGTGAAAAACAAAGCTGCGTTGGTGTGTTCAGCTCGATTTGGATCGATGGTGGTTCTTGTAGGATGAAACTGAAGTCCTTGGGCACCTATAATAAAGAACTTCTTAAACTGCACTGATTTGTATATTTCACTAAAACACCCTGCCTCCTGCAGTAGAACTCCTTTTTCATTAGCGCTTGTTTGTATAAGGCTGTTTGTGTTACAGGTTTCTTTTGCCGTAATTCACAAAAGCCTTTTTTGACATAAATAATGAGGCTTTTGCTGACTGTGTATTACATCTCTGACAGGACTTGTACAACTACCTTGAACTTATCTGAGCCTTTTGAACTGTTGGATAAATTTCCATATGCTTCAATCTCCCAACTAGAGTTCTGATGTTAGGAGTTGGAGCTGCGTTCTCCTGTAGTCCTTAGTGCTTTACCCACAAGGGGGTTTGATAAATTATTTTCTCACACACATCAGCCAGTGAAACACAAGAATCAATGTGTATGGGGGGGCGGGAGGGGAGGGATTGGGGTCAGAATGGGGGGGGTTGCAATTGTATGGGGGAATATAAAAATAAAATTTATTATTTAAAAAAAAAAAAGAATCAATGTGTGTGATGTGAAGCACTGACAAAAGTAAGGGATTCAAAACTGACTGGAGGGCCTCCCTGGTGGCGCAGTGGTTGAGCGCTGGGTTGCGAAGCTGCCCACAGCCTCTGCGACTCCGGTTCGATCCCCGGCTGCTCCCCGACCACCGGAGGAGGGTCCCGCATGGCCCGCAGACCTCTCCTGCCGCCCACTGCTCCCCTCAGCAGTGTACTTCGGTCCTTCTGCCTGCTCTGCTCCCTGCTCTGGCTCTGGTGAATTCTCTCACCCTCCCGCTCTTCTGACTGTACCCAGTGCTTGTATAAACAAACAAACAAATAAATAAATAAATAAAAACATGCCTCTATTAAAAAAAAAAAAAAAAAACTGACTGGAGCTCTGCCACCTTGCTCTGGTTGCCCTGGGAAGAGCACCAGGCTTCAGGGCCGTAGCATGCTTCCTGGAGGGGCAACCAGAAGCAAGGTGCCAAAGCACAGAGATTATCATCATTTCAGCTGCATGTCACTTAATCAAACAGTTTTGAATACCTTTGTTTTTTTCACAAAAGAGGTTGTGTGCATTCAGCTAAGTGCTCTGGAACTGTAATCACAGCTTTTAGCCTGTGAAGCAAATAGAGTGCCAATTAAAGAACATCTCCATTCAGAGGCCATGAGAAAAGTAACACGCCCTTGGTGCTAACATTTGAGGAGGTTAATCAGACAACAAAACCCTTACACTAGTCATACAATGAAGATCTAGTAAGTGGTGAAGAAAGAATATAGCAAATGGATGAGGTTGGAGTTATTTTAGATCAGTATGGTCCATCAGGGAAGACTGATGTGACCTTAATGCAGGCACTCACTATAGTTGCCAGTACCCGAATATCAGGAGATTTCAGTGCAGATCAATTACTAGTTTTCCTAGGGAGACTGAGAGATCTGGCAGTGTTGGGTCCAAATCTCCACACACTTGTTGAGTTAGAGCCGAGTCACTGCGGTCTCTGGCCTGCTATAGATCATCCAGCCCCCACCTCTTCCTTGTCTTCCGTTGAACTGACTTAACTCCTGTCATTTTGTTCCAAGTTCCGATAGGCATTTAAGCTGTGCCCTCATTTGGATTAAGTTAAACTTTCCTCCAACAGACAAGATCTATATCCTTCTAAATCTAGATATACTTTCAATCCACTTTTTAAAAAGTAACCAGGTATACACAATAGATTAATCAGATGTGCATGTTTACCTCTCCAGCCTCCGCTAAAATAACAGTAAAGGAATAAAGGGGTGTAAGCCCATAAGGATGACCCATAAGAGAATGGTAGAGGGGAGATTAGTGGACAAGAGGGTACAATAATTTGGAGGATGGAGAGTGGCTGGAGTGTTGGTAACTAAAATCAGTGTCAAGAAAATACAACCAGAATTCATCCTATAGGACAACCTCAAAGATTCAAGCTTAAAGGTATCCTAGGGAGAGAAGTGACATATGAGGCAGGGTTAACAAGCAAGGAATTAGTTAAAACCTGGTTCAAAAAGGGGCTCCAGAAACCTTCCCTACCTTGCACAGCCAGAGGAGCACCCCCAAGTAAGGCAAGAGAATTCCATCCTCCAAATGCCTATAGGAACTGAGGCCGAAACAACACGTGCATCAAGTAAGCTGAGTGGAAGCAGTTACCCACACTCCATCCACTTTCCTCCAGATTATACCCTCTTGTCCACTAATGTCTCCTCCACCGTTCTCTTAGGGGTCGTCCTGGTGGGTCTGTACCTCCTTTATTCCTTTACTCTTAGTGGAGGGCCAGTGTGAGAGGCGAGGCTGAAAGCAGGGAGTAGGTACACATGTTATTTTATGGGAGCCTCTGGTTCTCTGCCCATTAAAACACCAGGACTAGAGGGTGTGGGCATGGAATTGAAAGTTTATCTGATGTGCTAGGCCATTGGAAAATAATACTGATGGGTATCTGGCAGATCTGAGAATGTGTTGCCAAAACAGGATAAACAAAATGGAAGATGAAGCAGTTATTAATTCCAGGAAGGAAAAAAAATCACAAAAATGGAAATATTTTGATTTGCTAGTTGGTTCTGCAGTAACCAATTGTAGGGCAAGTGTATTCATCAAGGCTTTTTGCACCCCTAGCCTCTGGCTATCACCTGCAGCTTTGATGGTGTTCATTCAGAAGGCGCATGGGCGCAGGGCACCCAGGCCTACAGTGGACACGTGGAGTGTGCGTGTGGGCATGCGTAAGTGTGCACAGCTGAGCCTGGAAGTCAGGGCTATAAGGGCAGCGTCACTCAGAGACAGGAGGACGGCTGCAAGAGGATGAGATGTGTGACTACAGAGAGGTGAGACCGCCAGAGAGAGCCCAGAGAAAGTAATGATACTTTGGGAGATGGGGGGGGGGCGGGGGGATTGGGGTGGAGGGGCTTGGTTGCTGTCAGACTCCCAGGCCCCCGGCCCTTCCTTGCTCCTGGTTGCCCCACTACACCACTATACAGTCTTTGTAAAAATACTTGTTACTGAGTGAACCGAAAATCCTCACATAACTGGGGTGTGGTCGGGATGGGCAGAGGCATGAAAGGGCTGCATTGCATAAATTCACATCAAGAAATCAGTAGATAATGTACAAAACTGATAAGGACAAAGCCATGAAGATAAAAGCATAACCTGGGAACACATGCATAATTATTTGGAGACTAACTTTGCAAGGGAAAGAAGAGGAGAAGATTGAATATGTGGGATGGAAGTATTGCAGAGATAAACTGGGAGATTCCCAAAGGAGCAGAGGATGGATGTGAAGGTGGGTCAAGCGCAGGGGAGACGGGGGAGGATTTTTGAAGTGGAGGGAGGCCACAAGGATGTGTGAGGAATGGCCAGGCCGCGCTTACTGAGTAGAATGAGGAACAGGCAGTGAGCTCAAATGTACTGCTGCAAAGCATGCTGTCCGGAGTAGTGTCTCTCTGCCCCTTTACCTGGTCACTGTGGTTACACCTACAGCACACACAGCAGATTCACAACAGTTGAGGTTACATCCAATTGAATTTTATGAAATCAAAGGATAGAGGTAGCCACAAGCCAATGAACTAACAGCCACAAGCCAATGAACTAACAGCCACAAGGCAACCTACAGGGCCTCCCCCGTGGTGCAGCAGTTGAGCGCTGGGTTGCGAAGCTGCCAGCAGCCTCTCCAGCGCCGGTTCGATCCCCGGCCCACATGGCGGGCAGACCTCTCCTGCTGCCCGCTGTTCCCCTCAGCAGTGTACTTCATCAGTCTGCCTGTTCTGCTCCCTGCTCTGGCTCTGGTGAATTCTCTCACCCTCCCACGCTTCTGACTGTACCCCAGTGCTTGTACAAATAAATAAATAAATCTTTTTTTTTTTAAAAGTCAACCTACAGCCCGACAAAGTAACCCCTCCCTACCCTTCAAGAGGGCACAGAAAGCAGATGTTGGCAATTGAACAGCAGTCTGGGGCCAATGAGTTTAGAGACCTAGACATCTGGCATTGCTTACACTGCATAGCGCAGTACCTAAGGCTCAAGAAGAGTTTTAAGTTTAGTGTATACTAATACCATCTGTTTTAAATGTATTATATAAGGTATATTTTCAATATCACTACATGGTCCCTGAACTATTTCAAGAAGCATTTGAGAATATTCTCAAAATAATACCAAAAGAATGCTTGGTATAAAAGGATAAATTCCTTTGGAATACTCACTAGCCAGAATTTTTCCTGGAAGTTTTTCCTCTCTGGAGGAGTCTGCCTGGCAGAGATAAAAAAAAAAAAAAAAAAAAAGAAAAAAGAAGGTAATTTACCCTAAAGAAGTTCTAATTGGTGAGGCAGGTGGCCTTACTTGGTGGAATCCTTCAACTTTTGTCAGAAATTGAAAGTAGGTGCTTCAAATTGTGGGTTTCTGAAGGAGATGCTTCTGGCTGTTTATAAATTTATAAAGAGATCGGAAGGCGCCTAAGAGCAAGGAAGACCCAGGATAACTTCCAGAAGCTCAAGGACCCCATCCTGAAGTTTAGATCCCACGAGGCGTGTAGCACTAGAAGCAGGACAGCGCACCTGGATGAGGTGTGAGAGTCAAAGATGTTAGAAGGGGCTGGGACTGAAGAGTCAAACTGGTAGCTGCCGGTGGTATGCTGGTCCCCTGGCTGTGCGCGCTGGACTCCAGCTGCTCATCTCTGGCAACGGGTCCGTGGCATTTCCGAGTGGGAGTTAGGTTGGGAGGGGTTTGCAGGTGACAGGACTGGTTGGGGTCATAATTAGGAAGAACTGATGTGATTCAGACGGTGTCCAGAGTGAGAAACAGACTATATCTTCTTTCCCGTTTCCATCCTTACCCACCACTGCCCTGTCAGCTGGTTAGGGGGGCTGCCGAGCTTAGCTTCTACTTGCCTCCCCCAACTTAAGGCCATCCCATGCTTTCCAACACAACTCTCTTAACTACTTTTTCTTCCAAGTGAATGTGCCAGTTCACAAATGAGGAAACTGTTCACAAACCCTAAGAAATTGTTCATTTAAATTTTATAGTGTCTGTAAAAAAAAATCTCCATCGTATGACCTAATAGCACATACAGCTATAATTGAAATCTTCACTATATTGCTGACATTTATCATGAAAATACCTCAGATTTCCAAAATACAGTTGTCCAAATTAATTCAATCTTCAAGAACAACTGTCTATGTTCCAGTTGTTATGATCCTCTTCCGCTGACACTAATAAAGCCAAGAGGCCTCTGTGGTGGTCTTTGAGGCCAGGCAGGGGTGAGTATGACTTCAAACAGACTCGAACTCTCGTTGCCAGGCTGAGTATCTCTGAGTCAGATTCTTTGCTGAAGGCTTGGTGTGAGCTAACACATCCAAAAAGTCGGCAGTGGTCACTGTATCCAGCTGGATCTTGGGTAAATTGCTGCTCTCTAGATAAAAACACAACAGTAACAGCATAACAATCGACCTCATAGTGATCAATGCTCTTGAAATGCTAATAGACCTTCTTTCAGGACAATGCATAATGCAGCATTCTTAATGGTTAATGCAGCGAAAGGTAAGACTAAAGAGGGCTGGGGGAAAAAATTCTTTAAAGTGCAACTCAGCCCCCGAAGCCCAGACAAAATATGTGACTTAAATGTATTGTTATCAAAGTATTATTTAATATTTATATAGTGCCTCAAATGGATCCAGTCCAACATCATAGCATGCCAGGGAAATAAAAGCTTGAGCCTTAAGGAGTTTATCATCTGGGGGCAAAGTTGATCCAAAGCAGAACGCCACAGGAGGAAGGAGCTGAGTGTACCAGGGCTGATTTGACTGGAGGAAGCATGCAAGTGTGAAGAGCCCCCATGAGCAGGAGCAAGGCGCCACCTGCTGGTGGAAGTTGGACTTTCCAACACAAAGTTCTCACCCAAAGCACCACCTCTGTGATCCCAAGCATACCTGGCTGGTGATTTTCAAGTGCATTGAAGATCTTCCTTACAGGCCTCATGGCCGCTTCCCTGCAGACTAGCTTAATGTCTGAGCCGGAGTAGCCCTCTGTCTCCTGAAACAACCACAAAACAGCCATTGGTCAGCAGGCAGAAGGCTGGTGGTAGTTAAAATCTTAGAGGCAGGGCCAGGTATCAGGGCCCCCATTTACATTCTACACCCGTCCCCCCCAAGAACACTATACAAAAATATTCCCAGGTAAATAATCCTCGGGAAAAGAGAGACTGCTGACATGTTTGGATAGCCTCAGAAACGTCCTAACAAGATCCAAATGAATGCCATAAGATACTAGTCAAGGACTCTACCACCCAAGTTCCCCTAATGGGACTCTTGTGCCCGAGCCAAGGATGGTCACATCTGGTAGATTGTCTTGCTCTTACAAATGAGATCATACCTGCCTGAGCAACCTCAGAGAACGTCAAATTACAGGGTCCACTCAGACAAATACACCAGTAACAATGGGGTAACAGACAAGTACCTAGAGCTTTTCTATTTGGGGAAGGTTTCATTTAATCATCACCATAATCCTCTGGTTTGTCTGTTACTCATTTTACAGATGAAGAAGCTGAGGCTCAGAGGGCGAGGCCACACAGTTAATAAGCAGCAGGGCCAAGATTTGACCATTGTCTAAACCCCACCCCTTTTCCACTCCATTGCTTTGTTTCTCTCTGCTCACATGTTTCCAAGTGACAAAAAGCTCACTCTTGCATGAAGAAGAGGCCCTTGTTCATTATATGACTGGGCTGGCGTGGATCTTTTCTAAATCACTCAAGGAAGAGGCTCCAAACAGCCCATGAGAAGACTGCTTGGAAAACTTGGGGGGTGACCCTTTTGCTGGCAGATGGCCCCCTCCAAGGCAGCTTACCTGGCTCAGCACACTGTACTCCAGCTCTGTGCGCAGCTCCACAGCTCTGCTCTTGCTCACCGGGGGCAGCCAGTGGTGGATCATGGCCTGCCTGGCCTCCTGGCTGGGGAGATCAACCAGAATCCTCTTCTCTAGGCGGCGTAACATAGCACAGTCCAGCTCCCTAGGGTCACGTCAGAAACACAGGAGCTGGTTGCAGCAGGAAACTCCCTTAAGCAACAACTATGTTTGAATGACAATTCAGTACTGCAGAAGCAATTCCGCATTTTAACTGAAGGACCAAAGGGAGATTTAAAGTAACCAAATGCCCATTCAAGACACAGGAGGTCTGACACAAAAAGTGAAGGGACTCTCCAGCGTGTTGAGTGAGGTCTTGTGAGATCCTCTCTCTACACACAGGATAATCTGTTCTGTTTAGAACTGGTGAGGAGGCTCTGGAAGAGATGTCTCCAAGAATATGGAATTGATAGAATATTTATCAGAGTGTCTGAATGAACTCAGGGTCCATTTAGAGTTGTGGCTGGATTAGTGGAAGGAGAAGTTGACGTGGAGAAAGGGTTGAGGGGAGAGGGACATCTTTTTTTTTTTTTTTTTTTCAAAGATTTATTTATTTATTTATACAAGCGCTGAGTACAGTCAGAAGTGTGGGAGGGTGAGAGAATTCACCAGAGCCAGAGGGGAGAGCAGAGCAGGCAGAATGACAAAGTACACTGCTGAGAGGTGCAGTGGGCGGCAGGAGAGGTCTGCGCGCCATGTGGGACCCTCGCCCAGCGGCCGGGTATCGAACCAGCGCTGCAGAGGCTGTGGGCAGTTTCGCAACCCAGCTCTCAACCGCTGCACCACCGGGGAGGCCTAGGAGAGGGACATCTTTTAATAGAGGGGGGAAAAACATGAAATTTAAATTTTTGAAACTCTGTTCAGCAATATTTACCACCTGCCAAATGAATTATCACTGCTAAACCTCCAATAGTCAAATAAATAAGATTAACTTTTACTTTAAAGACATTAACAGGTTTGGGCCATGGACTGCAGGGATGTTGGTCCTGTGAAAACTTCAAAGATAAAAATAAGACTTGAGATTAGACTGAAAACCAGGAAGAGAGACTATGCTGAACAAGTGGCAGAACTAGGGGCTTTCTTTGGACCAGCTGCCCCTTCCTGAAAAGGTGGGTACAGCAGAAAGAAGGGTTTTTTTTTTTAAGGGCACCTCTTCTGGTCTCCCCATCCCATCCAAAGTGACTCCAAGCTGAAAGGAAGACCAGATCCCCAGAATGCCCTCGGGGAATGGAGTCCTTGAGTCACTCTAGATATCTGTATTGATCAGCTAATGCACTAAAGCAAGAGATTTACCTCAAAACTGCTTGTGGGCACAAAATAAGTGCAACTCTCTGACAGCCAGCCCTGATGAATGCACTTTTAATGACATCAATAATAATATAGTCATACAAGGGAGGAAACAAAGGACAAATGGAATGTACCCAGGAATCATTCTTTATGCCAATATATTTATATGAAAAAATTTAACCTGCGGTAACCAGGAAACACTCCGGTTAGCAACTATGCCTTGAATGTTTAAACCTGCGTATCCTGTTCTGATATCTCCATTCCGGTTATTTGGGACTTCCATCACCTCAGAGATCAGAAGCAATCAGCGTGACATGCAACACAGCCAAGACTCGCCAACCACAGAGCCTGGCCCTGGACTCAGCCTACTGTTGTATAAAAGGGGGGCAGTGCCCACTGGCCCCGGACAGTTTGCCTGGGCTTCGAGGCTTTGCACCTGAGAGGCTGAACTCCCGCCCCAAACCTTCCTGGCTTTCCTCAGCCTGGTGGCCTGTCTCGGGTGCTAAGCAGTGTGGCTCCTGGGACAGAGATCATTCTAAATGTTACAGAATTTGGCAACCAAACATACATCTAGTTCATTCACTCAATAGTGGAGACATATCAGGTACAAACTATTTTGGTGGTGAGAGAAGAGCAACCTTGAGTTTTGTAGGCCTAGTCTTTGCAGCACATCCTCAGTCCCCATGAAAGCAGTGACCACGACAATCCAAGGCAGAGGGACTGGCGTGTTCTTTGGCACAGGATGCGGAGCCAGTAACAGAGCAGGGGAAGTCATTTTGTCTCCCAGTGAGCCCTGCATAAATTGACTCCTACCTACATTTCCCAGGACGGTCTCTGAATCCGCTACTGTGATCCAAGCGGAGCTTCTCATGGGGCTGTTCTTCTTTACAGAACTTCCATTTTTACTACCAAGAGCCCAGACATTTTTATAAGCCTAATTCAAGAATGCCCTACCCCATAAAGACTTTTTCCCCCTTTTAAATATCTGTTATCAATATCTGTTATGGCCTCTTCCCTGTACAATTTTACTCCCCTTGTTATCTGTGCCAATCCCGTGGTACATCTTCACCTCTCACTCTCCCTCACACCTCATTCATTGTCCCACCAGATCACCAGCTCCCAGCAGTCAAGGATCATAGGCCAGATGTCTTGGGTCCCCAGCCCTCCATCACGCTCACAGCAGCTGCTCAGTAAGTACTACTTGGATGAATGAATGAACTTTTGATGGAGGGCTACTGGCTGTATGTAAAATGACCTGCTTCCTTAAAGTCCCATATTTATTGATGAAGATAAATCTGTTTTGCTGGAAATTAGTATTTTATAATCATAATTAATTCTAACTTAGAGAAAATCAGCATCAACTTGGGCAATGGAAATCGAACATTCTATTTTTCTCTTTAGTGGAAATAATGGAAACAGTGTTTAGGGGATGATTCGTCCACCTCGTGGCTGGCAGGGCTTCTGAAGATGAGGAAAGCATTGTTTTCTCCTTTCTCCTCTTGGAAAGTCACAACACACAATAGCTTCCAAAAAAAAAAAGCTGAGAAGTCCTGAGTTGGGGGAAGCAAGCTGAACCGTCTTTAACTCAGTGACTCTTGAGCTTCTGAGACCTTTAAGTCTCATTTTTTGGATAATGCTTCCTGACTTTGTGCCAGGGCACTCTTGGAGAATGTTGATGTGGAGTATGAGGTGCAAAGTCAAAAGGTAGGACCTCAGAGGGCATGCTTCTCCCAGGAGATACATGGACTTACTATGCAAAAACCAAGGTTATGTCTGCTGATCTCATCGATCACATGCCTATACTTTCAGAGAAATAACACACAGAGGAGAGACTTCATGTGCAAGAAGCCAATTTAAATAGGTAAATTCTGCACATACCCAGCAATCTCTTAGATCCTATGCTTTCTTCTAAATATTAGACTTTGGGCTTGTTTTTTTTTTTTTTTTTTTTTTTTTTAATCTACAGTTTGGTCATACTACGGGTCTAAATTTCAAGAGGGATAGTGAAATTTCCAGCTCTTTTGCAAATAGCAAGGGGATGGTAGGTTTCAACATGCTTCACACATGGAATTGTCACACCTTATTTGTACAAACTACCATTGAGTTAAATAGACATCTAAAGATGGCATTTGCCTTAATGGCCCTATTCAGTGTTTTGTTTCCCTCCGGACTCCTAGGTCTGAGTTTGTGAATACTCAACAATCGAGTCGGGTCAAATTAGCCCTAATTGTGCTCGCTAAACATGTCTTGCATGGCCATTACTTTAAGTGGTAATATTAAAGATGCAACATGTGTTGTTATTCTTTTCATTGCTTATTTACACATCAAATGACACAGATGAGCTGTTATTTCTTGCTTCCTTCCTGTCCTCTCTGTGATGCTGTGGGGTAGGGAAGGAGCTTGGAGGAAGAAAACCCGAATCTCACTGCTGAGGAGGGGTAAGGACTGACCTTTGAGACACAATGGATTTTTCTAGGGAAAGTGATAAATTAACTAGCAGGAACGGATAGCCTAGCACTCTAGAAGAGGGCAGATAGGCATTATCACTAACGAACCATAAGGAATCGCTTTGGGATTTTAGGGGCTGGACTCTTACACAGTTTCCTGTGATTCTGCTATTTCCCCCAGAAGGACAGGCTCACCCAAGATCCCAAAGCCAAGATAAAAGTCTGCCCCAATATTCTTGATAAAAATCTTACTTCCTCATAGAAGGACTTGGGCAATAAACATTTAAACCCTTTGATACAGTCATCCTGCTTCAGAAAATCTGTCCAGAACTTTATTTAATGATTTGTAGACAAGGAAGTTCATTTCAGTGTTATTTATCAGAGAGAAAAACTGGGAGTAACATATACATTCAATAGGAAATGATTGCAGGTGTAGATTTGGGGCACCCATTATAAAACCCACTTTTCTTTTTTTTTTATTTTAATTTTTCTTTAAATTTTATTTTTATATTCACCATACAACTGCAACCCCCTTATTTTGATGCCAATCCCTCCTTTCCCCTCCCCCCTCATAGTGTGTCTCTGGTTCATAGTTGTTTGTTGATTTTGATTTTTTCTTTCTTACAGTTATTCTTTCTCCTGGTCCCTTATTTAGGTTTTCTAGATTCCTGCTATGAGTGAGACCATCCGGTATTTTTCTTTTTCTTTCTGGCTTATTTCGCTGAGCATGATCCCTTCCAGCTCCATCCATGTTGCTGCAAATTGCATGTGTTTATCTTTTTTGAATGCTGAGTAATATTCCATGGTGTATATGTACCACATCTTCTTGATCCAGTCATCTATTTTTGGGCATTTGGGTTGTTTCCAAAGCTTAGCTATTGTAAATAGTGCTGCTATAAACATAGGGGTGCAGGTGCCCTTTGGAATTGATGTTTCTGTGTCCTTTGGGTAAATACCTAGGAGTGGAATTGCTGGATCATATGGAAGCTCTATCTTTAGTAGGTTGAGGAATCTCCACACAGCTCTCCATAGTGGATAAAACCCACTTTTCAAGGATAATTTAGTGACACTGGAAATATTCTTACTACAATGTTAAGTAACAAAAGCAGGACACTGGTGGGAATACAAAATGGTACAACCTCTATGCAGGGAAGTTTGGCAACCTCCTTATAATTTCATGCACATTAACATTTTGGCCCAGCAAATCTACTTCCAGGACCCTACCCCAAATACACACTGGCAAATGCAAGAAGTGATATTTGCACACTGTTACTCACTGCAGCATTACATTTAATAGCAAGAATAGGAATAACCCAAATACCCATCATAGGTGATTGGTGGGTTAGATTATCTTACACACATAATGAGGCATACACAGTTATGAAGAGTCAGGATGTTCTGTTAAGAGGGAAAAAAATCAAGATACAGAACAATGTATGTAATATACCACTTTTTGTGTAATTAAATAGAATTAGGTTATATTATGGGACTGTGAAAAAAAAAAAAAGACCAACTTTGAGAGTTTACCCGTGGAGCATGTGACAGCTTGTCCGTATATAGTGTCTATCACCTCCTTTCTTACTGCAGTGACTCTGAAGTGGGGGTAATTTTGCCTCTGAAGGCACATTCAGCAATGTCTGGAGACATTTGGTTGTCACATGCTGGGGGCAGGGGGCAACAGGGGTGCCGTTGGCCTCTAGTGGAGAGAGCTGAGGAAATGCTGCCCAGCACCGTACAGTGCACAGAACGGCCCTCAGCGAGGCTATCAATGATGCTGAGCTTGAAAACCCCCACTTAGCTCTTCTTGGTTAGGCCAAACTATTTTTCTCATCAAAATGGTACTGTCGTGACAGTAATTGGTATTATTAATTAATAAGAAACTGTTTTATACATAAAGTGTAAAATTTATTTACCTATTAGGAGAAAGTTTTAAAGGCATATATAATGAGTTCCTACTAGTATTTCCCACTCACATTTAAGATTTCAGGATTTTTAGTTATGTCATTTTACTTTTGCATATTTATAGAGAAAGGTTTTCCCTAATTGTGAAAATTAGCTACTCGTCATGCCAGATCTCACCCCTGTACATGCTACTATAAACTTCTGTTTGGCTTTTCCTCTTATTAAAAAATAATAGGTAGGGGCAGTGGGTGATGGGGCATCACAAATCTCAGCTTATTGAGTCTTACTGTTGACTTTGGGTGGACTGAGCTCCCTTAACCTTGGCCCCCTACTCTGCGAATAGGGAGAACATTTGTTATCAGTCTCCTGTCTTATCTGCAACTCAAGAGAAACAATGCATGTGAAAATATTCTTGGAACTGTAAAGGGATTATAATTATTTAAATATATATACTCTCCAGGTAGGTGTTGTTTTCCCCTAGTCAATGTCCCTTACTTCCCAATTCCACTTCTAGAGTTGTTTTTAAACCACTCTGGGATATAGTTTGAATAAAAAACTCTGAGAGTAGATTATATTTTCAGTTAGAGATTACTTAGATTCCTACTTACTGTGAAACTTTTTTTAAAAAAAGAGATATTCCACCTAAGTTAGAAAAGCTTAAATTTTAATTCTGTTAAAAATCCATATTATTTCTGGAATATTCTTTGAGCCCCGGAGATGTTAGCATTGTATAGTTCTATGCTACAACCCTTCTTTAGCACAGTCAATAATTTGACTTTAAATTTTCACTGTAAATAAGTTTAGTGGTGAGGTTAGGAGTGGAGACAAAAGGGGAAGGGCCCAGTGATCTAGGGTAAAGGACTTTGTGTGCTTTGGTTGGGGGGTGGGATGTGGTGACATTTATCTGAGGAGGTGTGACCCTATTCTTCTAAATCTTATACAGTCTTGTAAACCAATATTACCTCAATTAAAAAAAAAACTCATCAAAATCAACAAACAACTATGAACCAGAGACACACTATGGAGGGGGCGGGGAAAGGAGGAATTGGGGTCAAAATAAGGGGGTTGCAATTGTATGGGGAATATAAAAATAAAATTAAAAAAAATTCTTGAAAAGTAAAAAAAAATAAAACTCAAAAAAATTTATATTGAGAAGATAAAGCCATCTACTAGACAGACAGATAGATAGATAGATAGATATTTAGATAGATATCAGTGGTAACCCTTGCCTATGTTCCTTCCATTAAGTCAAATTCTATCACTGTATAGAGAGCAAGGATTGAAAACTTGAACAAGAAAGACTTTAGATCGATCTTCCAGGCCTGGAACCAAATAACAAGGCTTTGCCTGAAGTGGTCAATATAATATCTTCATCTGTGCTCAGTGACTCATGAAAACATGTTCAGAATGTACTCTTTAGATCTCTTACCACGGCAGGTTGGAGGCTGCTAAGACAAACACCAGGTCTTCTGAACGAGCCAGCCCATCCATCTGCACCAGTAACTCTGTCTTCATCCGAAGGCTCCCTTCATGCTCCCCCCTAGAGAGAGACGAGGATGTGAGATTCTCCCAGAGGCAAAGACTTTGCTTCCACAAGAGCAGCATTCACAGCAATGACCCAGCCACTCCTTCCTCTTCCCTGGTGTAGATTGAGGAAAAGAGACCCGAAAAGCACCTTTCTTACACATGACATGGTAACCCAAAGGAGGTATGCGGTTTTTCAGGACTATGCTCCTTATTAGCTGACCACCTTTTCCTAAGAGAGAAGAAAGTCTTGCAGTGTAGTTATGGAATTACTTAGCCTTTGCCCATAATTAGTATTCTTTTTAACAAGAAGTCTTCATAGCACTTGGCTTTATTCCCTGGCCTTATGAAGGCACTAGCTTTAGAGCTTAAGCTCCAGACAAGAAAAGCCGCATTCAGGGTAAATCCTGGAGCACACTCACTGATAGTAGCTGAGGAGCTTCCAAATTAATTCAAAGCTGTGACAAAGCCTGGGGAAGCGGATGCAGAAAGGAGCACACAGGTCGCCATGGCAAGGCAGGGTCTTTGCAGAGGGAATGAGCATTAGGGTTCCCGCTCGGGCACTGGTGCTGCTGCCTGCTGCTGTCTGACCCCCTGTAGAGAGGCAGAGCTCCCCAGCCTGGGGCTGACTAGCACCCATGAAGCTGTGGAAATCGTCCCATTTCAATCAATGGCATGAATCCCATGCATCATGGGCACATCTGAATGGTTGCTTTTCCCTGCTGGGAAAATGGTTTTCAATGCATAAAATTTCATAAATTATATTCTAATTATACTTCCAACAAGGTAATTATTTACTTTTTATTACTATCAATTCTGCCTTGATATTAGACCAGTAGAGATCATTAATACAAGCAGCCATGTTGAGATTTCCCAGGCCTGTTTTTTTCAAGCCAGGGTACCAAGTGCAGTAAAAGTTCAAAAAAAAAAAAAAAAAAAACCCATCAGTGGTGAAGACAACAGGTGTTCTTAAAGCACACACACACACATTCAAACAGAAGGCTACCGTCTGAGACACGTTCTTTCTGCTAGGGTCAATAGCGGACACCCAATCTTTAGAGATAACATATGTGACATGGTTAAAATCGGACAGGCTGAGCCACAACTGAACGTCACATTGAAGTGGTGGCTCCCCTGGCCTCACACACCTTGTCAACGACTGCCCTGGGGACCTGGCCCTTGGCGCCCGCTCCCCACAGGCAGCCCCTCTGGCTCCAGACATCGTGGTCACTGAGGCTATTTTGAGCTGACAGGACAGAAAAGGCAGCCTGGGGTCTGGGGGCTCAGCCATCTTCAGGCCTGAAAACCACTCTGTGGGGAAGGGGGAAGGGGAGGATGATATTTCCTCCGGTTATAAAAACTACTTAAATCAGCTGTTCAGTTAACAGGATCTAATTTAAAGACCTTTCCGTGTGTCTGCAGAAAATTTGTGGGCTTATTAATAGGCTCATTCTGCTGGTAAATGTCGATGGGCTTCCGACCATCAAACACACTTACAGAGGGGAGAAGTGACGACCAAAAAAACCCTGTCTGTTACCCAGGAGACGTGCCTCTCTGACTCATCACTGACTCCAGCTCGTCCAGGAAGATGGTGGAGGGAGCGTGGTAGCGGGCAAGTTCAAATAGCACCTGGGTAGGAGCAAAGCAACCACATATTCGAATTCAGGTAATTAAGTTCAAAAGTTCTCAGGTGATCCCAGAGATGAAAAGCTTAGAATGACTGTAATAGTAAGCATCTATGCGGCACTGTTAGTTTACAGTAACTTTATAATCGTTGTAGTTATTTCTCCCTAGCACCACCCCATGGGGTTGTCCAGTCATTTCCATTTATCACCGAGTAACATTAGAGCCAAGGAAGAGTGAGTGGTGAACTCGAGGTCACTAGTCAGAAAAGGGGGCGGGGGGCTTAAGATAAAACCCAGTCCCCAAGCTTCCAGTGGAACCCTCACCAGTAACACGGCCCATAGGAACACAAAAGCCTCAATGTGTACAATCATGTGACGATTTTCCTTTAACCTTTAGGAGTAATGGGAGGGCTGGTCTCAGAATGAAAAGCTGACGAGAAAGGGTAGCCTCCCAGTCATGGGGAGCAAGCTGGGAGGACTTCGCCCATGTGTGCTCCCCAAATGACTCCACGAGGCTCCCCGCACCACCCAACACTGCTATTTGCTAGCTCGGGTGCTCAAAGGCAATTCCCAATTGAATAAAATGTTCCATTTCAGAGTAGAAGATTATAGACTTAACAAGAACAGGAACGCAAAACAGCAAAAAAAAAAAAACAGACATATAAAAACAAAATAAAGCGCTCCAAAGGGAGATGTGGTGCTGATGAAGAAAGTAGGAAAAAACGAAACCTATTTTTTTAACCCTCAAACTGATCTCTTGAGCACCATATACAATTCTTCACTGCTTGATTGGAGAAAGCAGTGGCGATTTAGAAGGAAAAAAAATTGAGGTACTTTAATAAGGATGGGGATTTATTCTCCGTGTCAGTCACGCTGGCAAAGCCCCACAGAACAAACGAGAAGGGACAGGATCAGAAAGGGTTGATGAGGTTTTCTTGAGTAGTAGCAGGCCTCCCCTTCCGGTTTCCCTGTCACTGAGCGGGAATGCCTCATCTTCGCCACTGCTTGCAGTGTGGTGGCTCCATGATCAAGCTTAAGTATTTTCCTTTCACTCAATCCTGTTTCATCCAATGAAGACAACTGGCTCAGCCTAATGAACTGACAGAACAGAGCCAATGCTGGCACACACATCCCAAACAACTTTTAGACACAATAGAGACCACTCCTTAGAAGGAAGTAGCTTTCCTTCCTTGTCACAAAAAAGCAAGCTCAAATATACCTGATGTTAAGGATGATTACAATGGCAACAATCTACCCAGGGAAGAATGGATACTGGAACTCTATGAGAACCAATCGCATTTTTAAGGAGCTCCTTGAGGTATAGAAAGACCAAGAACCTCCACCAGACAAAAGATCCAGCTGAAACATGGATGGAGCTGGAAGGGATCATGCTCAGCAAAATAAGCAAGAAAAAAAAAAAAAGAAAAATACCGGATGGTCTCGCTCATAGCAGGAATTTAGAAAACCTAAATAAGGGACCAGGAAAAAACTAGTTATAATAAAGTAAAAATCAAAATCAACAAGCAACTATGGACCAGGGACACACTACGGGGGGGGGGGGTCAGGGAGAAGGAGGGATTGGGGTCAAAATAAGGGGGAAATTGTATAGGGAGTATAGCCAAGATGAAAGTGCATACATTGTGCAAAAATGAAAAATGATGTAAAAAAAAATCCAGCTGAAAGAAGACCCTTCCAGAACCACCTCTGGAACCACATCTCCATACTGAGAGCCACAGCTCTGTCCAATGCCAGAGTCCGGGTAAGTGCTCTGGAAGCATTAGTCTAAAATCTTCAAAAGTACTTGGAGGAAGTTAAGTCATACAATAGGGGCTGGGAGGTTGTTGAAAGATGCAAGCACCAACAGGTGTATGCATTTGCTTAAGAGACCACTCAACTACTCAAACGCATCAACTCCTGGGAGGCATGAACATTAGATGGGGAGGGAGGAACTTAACCCAAGAGTTCCCTATAAATAACTCTTTAATTGGAATAGAAAAGAAATAAATGATAGGAAAGCTTCTCTGATTTAGGGGAAGGTCCTGAAGGGCTCTCTCCATCTGAAAGCTTCATAGTAAGGAGCTTGACAGCATGACCAAGATTTTCCAGGTGAGGATCTTTCCAAGAGCTGAGAAAACAAAGTGATTTCTGAAAGGAGAAGAGCTGAGATCCTTCAAGGTGAGCAGCAGTTATGTCTTCCTCTTGAATTGTTCTTTTTTAATAATCAAAAATAAAAATTCAATTCACAGGAAGGAAAATACAAATGACCATCTAAACTGATGAAAAGATGCTCAGGTTCATTCAGAATTAAAGAAATGCACATTTGAGCATGGAAGTATCACTTTCACTATCAGATTGGCAAAGATTTTTCAAAGATGGGTACCCCACGGTGTTGGCCACAGCGTGGGGAAGCAAACACGGTCATGTACCATGGATGGGAGTGTAAGCTGGTGCCACCCTATTGGCAGGCAATTTGGCAATTTCCTTCCCTCTGACCCAACAAATCTCCTTCAAAGAAATTGTACTATATATGCAAAGACATGACTATAATAAGACTGTTCGCTGGAGCCCTGTTCATAATAGCAAGAGACTGGAAACAACATAAATGTCCATCCAGAAAAGACTGGTTGAGTCTGTTTTGCCTTGCAGTGAAATACCATGAGACATAAAATAAAAAAGTTCTGTCTATAACATTAATAGTGTGGAACAGTAGCCAAGGTGTGGCATTAAAGGGGAGGGGAGGGGGATGCAAATACAGAAGAGGATGTGCAGTGTATTCCTACTTGTATTTTACAGAAAGGGAGAGAGGGGCCTCCCTGGTGGCACAGGGGTTAAAGTCTCAGTGCTATCAAACTATCCCCAGCCACTGCAGTTTGGGTTTGATCCCCAGCCAGCCAGGGAGCTACCCACACGGCACAGCAGACCTCAGCTGCACCTGCTGCTCCCCTCAGCAGTGTATTTCAGTCAGTTTACCTGTTCTGTTCCCCACTCTGTCTCTGGTGAATCCTCTCCACACACACACACACACACACACACACACACCACCGGCCTACACCCAGTTTTTGTATGCATAAATAAATAAAAATAAGTCATAAATAAAGAAATAAAAGGAAGGGAGATACAGAGACAGGCATTGATGTCCATGCAGGTAAATGCTGAGCAGGGAAGCAACAGTGAGAGCCCAGGAGTCTGTATATCCTTGTGTGCTTTTTTTTTTTTTTTGCTTTCAAAAAGATGAGTAACTTTTTAAATAGATGGTAGAGGCAGAAAAACATGGGAAAGTACTCATTTCCTTACTCTTAGAATTCTAACAAAGTAATAATTAAGCAGAGGAAAACTTTAGTTAAATAAAATGCTCATACAGAATGGAAAGTTCTTGTTAAATGACTTTGTTTTTCAATATTAAGCAAGAAAGTTCATTTAGTTTCAATCTTTGTTGAGAACATTCATAAAATATCTGAATTTATTCTTCTGAGGGACAAAATGTGACCACTCTTTGAACACTTTGTAGTGTCTCGGCTCATAGTTTTAAACACCAATTTTCATTATAGGAAATCAAATTTAAAATGATTCTGGGGTCATTCTTCAAAGAAATAGAACAATTATCGATGAAATTCATATGGAATCACCAAAAACCCCAAATAGCCAAAGCTCTCCTGAAAAAAAAAGAAGGGACTGGAGGCATCACACTCCCAGACTTCAAACTATACTACAAAGCCATAATCATCAAAACTGCATGGTATTGTAACACGAACAGACACACAGACCAATGGAATTGAATAGAAAATCCAGAAATAAACCCACAGATTTATGGTCAACTAATCTTTGACAAAGGAGCAAAGAATATGCATTGGAGCAAAGAAAGTTTGTTCAATAAATGGTGCTGGGAAAACTGGGTCACTACATGTAAAAGAATGAAGCTTGACTACTACCTCACACCATGCACAAAAACCAACTCAAAATGGATTAAAGAACTAGACATAAGACCTGAAACCATAAAATACATAGAAGGAAATATAGGCAAAACACTACATGATGTGCACATCAAAGACATCTTTACAGACACATCACCCAAAGCAGTGATGGTGAAGGCAAAGATAAACAGCTGGGACTACATCAAATTAAAGAGCTTCTGCACAGCAAAAGAGACAATAACCAAAACAAAGAGAAACCCCACCGACTGGGAGAACATTTTTGCACACAATACTAATGATAAAGGACTGATCACAAAAATCTACAAAGAGCTGATGAAACTCAACAAAACAAAGAAAATAATCCAGTCAAAAAATGGGCAGAAGAGCTAAAAAGAAACTTCTCTGAAGAGGAAATGCAAATGGCCAACAGGCATATGAAAAAATGTTCAACACCACTTATAATCAGGGAAATGCAAATCAAAACTACCATGAGATACCATCTTACACCAGTGAGAATGGCACATATTAAAAAAATTAGCAACAACAAATGTTGGTGAGGTTGTGGAGAAAAAGGAACTCTCCTGCACTGTTGGTGGGAGTGCAAACTGGTCCAACCACTATGGAGAGCTGTGTGGAGATTTCTGGACCTAGTAAACATAGAGCTTCCATATGATCCAGCAATTCCACTCCTAGGTATTTACCCAAAGGACACAGAAACATCAATTCCAAAGAGCAACCTGCACCCCTATGTTTATAGCAGCACTGTTTACAATAGCTAAACTTTGGAAACAACCCAAATGCCCAAAAATAGATGACTGGATCAAGAAGATGTGGTCCATATACACCATGGAATATTACTCAGCATTCAAAAAAGATAAACACATGCCATTTGCAGCAACATGGATGGAGCTGGAAGGGATCATGCTCAGCGAAACAAGCCAGAAAGAAAAAGAAAAATACCGGATGGTCTCACTCATAGCAGGAATCTAGAAAACTTAAATAAGAGACCAGGAAAAAGAATAACTATAAGAAAGGAAAAATCAAAATCAACAAACAACTATGAACCAGAGACACTCTATGGAGGCTGGGGGGTGGGGAAAGGAGCGATTGGGGTCAAAATAAGGGGGTTGCAATTGCATGGGGAATATAAACATAAAATTAAAAAAATAAAAATATAAAATAAAACAAAAAAATAAAATGATTCTGGGGACATCTTGTAACAGTTTTGTAGTTGATACAAAAGAGGGATTTAAGAAAAAAAACTCCTCAGCCTAATAAAGATTTTAGTTTAATGAATTCCAGCTTACGAAACCCAGCTAACTAGAATTACATAGAACTACGAATTAAGGAGCAGCTAAATGCAAACCCCATCTTTGTTTTTTTGTTTTGTTTTTTAAGATTTATTTATACTAGAACTGGGGTACAGGCCAGATGCGCAGGAGGGTGAAAGGATTCACCAGAGACAGACCGAGAACAGAACAGGCAGACTGACGGAACACACTGCTGAGGGGAGCAGTGGGTGAGACAGGAGAGGTCTGCCGAGCTATGTGGGACCCTCGCCGGCCAGCCAGGATCCAACCGGCGCTGCAGAGGCTGCAGACAGCTTCATAGCGCTGCGCTCAACTGCCTGCGCCACCAGGGGAGGCCCGCAAACCCCATCTTTGGCCCTGGCACTGAGTTACACACAAGATAAAGGACAAAGAAATAGAAGATGTCCACAGAGATTTCCACAAATTACAATCTTGAAGGGTTGAGAAGAATTGATAAAAATGTATACATTTGAAATAACTTGAGAACAATATCAAACTAATAACGATAGGTTATTTTGGTTAAATCAATCCTTTAAAAATATTGTATTATGACTTCCAAATAAGCCATATCATTTTAAAAATGAGTCATCAAGGGAGTGTAATCCAGCATAGTATTTTAGGGTAATTCTTTCAGAAAATGTATAACATTCATATTCACTTAGTATTGATTACTTATCAGCCATTCTACAAAGTGCCATAGTTTAACGGGATTTCTGAGAAGGACTCATCTTAGGCTGAGGCATAAATCACAAATAGGTGTTTACATAAGGTGACTGGAAGATACAGTAAAAATTTATAATATTGAAATACACTCTGGACTATGAAGGAAAGATAGCATAAAGATGGAAATAATCTCTTCAGGAAAGGAAAAAACCTTACAGCCTGCAAGCACCCTGGAAGAAAAGTTGCTCAGAGCATCTGAAAGAATACTTAAGTGTCTGGATTCTCCATAGGGGATCTAGTGTAGAGACTAGCATATAGCAACAGCCACTCAACGAATGTTCACTGAACAATACTGCCCATGCTTACTAATAAATGCTTCTTGGATAAAGAAAGAAACCAGCTCTGCAGAGATGACTTTCTGCAGCTCCCATTCCTAAGTTGCAGGAATCAAAACAGGAGTGTGGGTCAAATCCCCAAAGGGTGTGGGTGGGGGTGGGGGTGGGGGTTGCTGATGGGGGCGAGATTAAACTCCATGTATAACAGTCACCCATCTCCTGGGTTTCTGTAATCAAGATCCAAAATAAAATCTAACATGGAAGTTCCTTAGAAAACAAAGCAGCTTTGATATCATTTACATCACTGTCCTCTGCCAAAACTAATTTTTGAAAACCAAAATCCAGAATTCCTACCCGAACAAGTTTTTCTGAATCCCCTCTCCATTTGCTGACAATGGTGGATGCGGAAATGTTAAAGAAGGTGGTTTTGCACTCCGTGGCCACGGCTTTGGCCAGCAAAGTCTTTCCTGTACCTAGAGACACATGTGGGTGAAAGATGAGCGGTGTTCGGTCTCCATCCCTCTGCTCACAGACAGAAGCCAGTCTCTCAAGCCACACGGAGGTGATCACTCGGCTCATTTGCCCCAGTCCCAGAGTGAGGCCAGATGGGGCGACTCCTCCTCTGCCCATGCTCCTAACACCAGGCCCCAAGCAGAGAGGGGTGCCTACCTGGAGGGCCGTAGAGCAGCAGTCCTTTCCAGGGGGAAAGAATTCCTGTGAATAGCTGTGGGTACTGCGGGAACAAGGAAGAGGGTGAGGTTTGGCACGGAGCCTGCAGGCCCTTAGCTCAGGCCAGGCAGCGAAGCTAAGGTGAAACAGCACCAGTCCGGGGGTCAGGTCTTCCTTCCATAAGTTTTGTGGCTTCTGCATAGACCTTATTTACCCCAAGTTTATTTTCACACTTGACGGCAATGCATGGCTTAATTGTGGCTTTTTTAAAAAGCCTTTTAAAAAATATTTATTTTAATTGCTTATTGAGGCACCCTTGGTCTACACATTGTCAGTGTTCTGGAAGTACAGGCTCGCCCTCTCCAGGTGTCGTCACCCTAGCGCACGCACCGCCAAGGCACCTGTAGTGTCCCATCATGGTCCACTGTGGAAAGCAATTTCTTAAAGGAAAAGAAAGGTGACTTTTCCTGTCTGTTACAGCAGTGCTTTCTTGCACATGTAACGTCACTTCATGCACAGCTCTATATGCAGAGTATATGGTAATCTTTTGAATGTTGTAAAACAGGTATGAATTTTAAGATATACACTACAACTAATAAAGGTAGGTGAGATTCAAGCCCAAAGCTATGGTGAAGCCTGTTTTAGAAGCTGGGAGCATTCAGTGCAAGATGCATTACAAGATCCTGAATCCACACAGGCCAGGCTTGGACTTCGGGGAATTTCACCCCTCAGTTCAGATTCAGACAAGGTGGGGCAGAGCAGGGAGGAGGGAGAGGGTTGGTAGAGAACCAGGAAAAGTAACTGAATAAGATTATAACCTCACATTAGTTTCTCGTGCTGACCAACTACTGTGACAGAGGGGACAAGTTAACCCTTGGACAGAAAACTATGTGTCCTCCTCGTGATGGTAGACACAGGACATGTAACTCGTCGATGGAGAATGAGCAGAAATGACCCCCAAGAGGTTCCCATCCTTACCCTTATGGGATACACAACAGCTTCTTTGACTAACTGCTTGGCTGCATCGAGTCCAATAATGTCATTCCACTTTATGTTTGGATTATGGAGATAAATGTCCTGCAATGCACATTTGATCATTTTGTTAAAACTAATGTTTTCCTCCACAGCTGTAATAAACACGGGAGCCGTGGAGTACTTGACTTACAATAGGACATAAAAGGCCGGTGATAAAAGCTCTCCTGTTAGATATATGTACACACACACAGTTCACCAAACGGATCCACGAAAATATTTTTGTTTTCCCTGGTGTTCCCATGTGATACTTTCAGGTGGGGATGGGGGTGAGGGAGGCTCCTAGCCAGGGAGGTACCTGTCTGCAGTCTACAGCAGCTCGGGCTGATTTACAGCCACAGTTGCAGGAGCTGCAGAATATGCCTTTGAATTACATTAGCTTTTACTGGGAAACATAGTTCCTAGCTGGTGCTCAGCCTCTCTTGATGCCTTGATCTCGCAAACACTTTCTTAATTTGTGACACAAGAAGGATAATGCTCCTCTGAAACCAATTTCCCTTTTTCCCTAGTGATCACTCCCTACTTCAATCAGGAGCAATTGCTTCTACAAAATTCAAGGAAGCCAACCACCAAGCAGTTTCCCCTCCTCAAAGTAGAGCCCTGTAGCGACCATCTAGGGTAATCAATTAAGGTAGCTTTTACTGATAACTAATTTACAATTTCCAAACTTCAGTTTCACAAGATGCTCAGAACGGTCACTCGGGGGCCTTTCTCAGGAGGAGCTGTTTCAGGCAAACTGAGTATCAATCGAAAAAAAAAAGGCCTCCTTTCCAATGTCACTGTGTGTGACTGCAGAACAATCTGGAAACTATTTTTATATTTATTTAATTTTTACTAATACATATATGCATATGGTCCAAGTCATAAAACTATAGTTTTAAAATGAGATGTTCTCAGGCTCCACTCTTGTCCCCGAACTTCCCAGTACCCTCCCCCATGGGTGACAACTTTAATTAGAGAAACTATTTTACAAGTGATTTGGTCAGGCATACTATGCACACTCCCGCTTTACTGGGTGACAGAGAAAGGAGTCAGTTTTCTAAAAGCGAGGAGAACCCAGCCTGTCTTCAGAGCCTGGGTCTGAATGCTGGCCCGCCAGCCACTCACATTCTTATTACCAACATTTCTTAGGAAAACTTTCACACACAATGGGGTGTCATCTACCTTGGAATTCAAAGCATCTAAACCCAATGGCAGTATCTTTTGGCCTCTTCTAGAGTTGACACTGAGTGCCACATGGTAGTGCTTAATTTCCCAACTGGCGACTGCTCCTTAGAGCAATCAAAGGTTATCAGTCAGAACTCAACATGTCAGTCTCCAAGGGGAGCGAGCTCCCCGTCACCATAAGTATTCAAGCAGAAACTGGAGGGCTGCTTCCTATGGTACTGCAGAAAGGATTCCAGATGGAACATGGAGGACTGCTTCCACTCTGTGACTCTATCATCACTAGCCATGTTAGCCGTTTGCAAAAACAGTAACGAGACTACTGATTTGTGTGGGTATAAAAAAAATTTTTCTCTGCTCTCTTATGCATCCCAGTGGCCCCAGCTTGGCTTTCTCCCTCATCCTCTCTCACAGGTAATAGTCAGAGCTGGTGTCTCTGTCTCCCTTCCCTGGATACCTGCCCTCCCCCGCACTGTCATCAGAGCAAGATATCCAAAAAACGCATGTGATTACACTGTCTCCTGACAGACACCTTTCAAAGATTCCTCATCTCCTGCAGGCTGATTCCCAGCCGTGTGTCCTGTTCACAGCCTCTTACTCAGCAGCCCTGGCCCTTCTCTCCAGTCCCCTTCCCTGCCACGCCTCGTGTCCCACTTGGCTCAAGGAAACAATGGCGGTCTGTCCAACATCGCCTTTGCCCAGAACACCTCCTACCCCCTTCTACTCCTTACCGTATGCTTTTTCCTGTGTCTCTCTGTCTTAACACAAAAATTAGAATCATAGAATTCTAATTCTATGATTAGAATTAACACAAAACTCCCTTCTTTCAGCTTGCCAGGCATGCCTTATGCCCGGTGGGGAGACCCCCGTGTGGCAAGGACTGTGGGGATTCATTCACCTTGTGTTTCCAGCCTCCCACACATACCTGACACGTAGTAGGTGTGCACTAAAGTGAACAGACAGATCTGGCAAACCTTTCATTCCCGGAGTGTCATTTTAAACAGCTCCCTGAGCCTGCTGTGGTTTCAGTCTTCCATTAAATGGAGATCACTGGAAATTACAAATGTCTCCGAGAGCTCAGGAACCGATTCTATGCCCAAAGAACTGGCCCTAAGTCACATGATTAGAAAGAGGGAGGATCTAGACAGCAAATCAGGGAGCCTGTGTCTTTAACCATTAGTGCTCACTGCCTTTGGATTCCAAGGGGTAAGCTTGAGAAATCTGGATGATAAGATCTTTCCTACTAATCTTGTTTTTTACAGAAATTTTCCATAATGAAATCGTCAGACTGCCCACATTCCTATTTCTAGGCTTTGACTGTTTAAACAAGACACAGACAGGCTCTCTCCTTCTCCAAGACGCTCTCCCTGACTCTTGGCTCTAAAACCCGTTCGCCTGTCCCTTTCTGTCTTGGTCTTTTTCTCTGCTGGTTTTCTTGGCCTCTACAGTGAGATGGGGGCTTTTTATATTGTAATTTTATGATTCTATAATTTATTTATCATGCATTATTGTGCCTCTAAACAATATGAGTGCCTTCGCAAGTGGGGGCACTTTATAAATAAATGATCATATTTATTGTTATTAATAAAAGAAGCAGCCCGCAGTGCTCCAGGAGCCCCAATCACCTCCGTAAATTTGTGAATTGAATATCAGATCTTACCCGGCTCACCACGGCTGCCAGTTCTCGCATCTCACTGTTCATGCCAATAAATGCACTCAGCGGCTTCAGCAGTCGCTCCTGGCGGTGGGGACAGAGAGCTTCAGGTTACAGGGCTGCTTCCTAACTTAGGCAGAAAGCACAGCGCAGCTCTTGGTGACACAAAGTGTAACAAGGTGCCAAGACCTTCAACTTGATCCCAAGGTTTCTCTGAGTTTAAAGTTCTGTTTCTAAAATCTGACTGGGGTGGGGTGGGGGTGGCAGTTTGCATAAAGAAAGTCCCCTCTAAGCCACTTACTGAGGGATCTGGGTCACAGTTGATGCTGTTCAGGCCCAGTTCACCACTGGCTCCTTTGATGGCGTCTGTGATTAGTCCTCGGAAGTCGATGATTTGGCCCTGAAAGGGAGCATTCTTTCTTTACGCCATTAAAACCCAAGAGAAGACTGTCCTTACCAGCTCTGCTTCATCATATCAAGACACACTTACCTCGGCGTGAGGGCAGACTTTAAACCTACACTAAGAATGAACATGAAATTTCCTCACCTCGGGGCACTCTTGAAAAGAAGTTGTAAGTAAATTCTTCAGAATGAGGTTGATTCGAATCCAAATTCACTAGCATTTTTCAGTTCCTGCTATACCTGCTATGCCTACACCTGCTTCTTAGATGCCTACTTCCCCTACATTGTCTCCTCCTTTCAGTATATTCCACATACAGGAAGAACCGGCTGGAGAGGAACAAAATGGCACCTGTTTCCTGGCTGTGATGCCCACTCACCATGCATAGTGCCTGGCACAGAGCAGGTGTGCACCGCCTGCACTTCGTTAGGATTAGTTCCAATTTAAGATCTCTGCTAGTTGGAAGTGGCACCCAAGTTCCCAAGTTTCATAGATGTGGGAGTTAGACCAGAGAAGGTATTGATATGTAATCTGCCTAGGGCCACACAGCTAAAAATGACTTATGGTTAGGATTCAAGCCCAGATATCCACCTCCCATATTCCCCCCCAGTGCCACCTTGTCTCCTCCACAGGCAGAAGGTAAAAGCAAGGGTGCACAAACAACAATAACAGCAAACAATAATAAAGCAGTCAATGTGGAGGGAGTGTTTATTACCTGCTAGCCACTGTACCGGGATCTCCATTCATTACATTTAAATTGACACCGCTTATTTCCATTTCGAGATAAGAAACAGGCTTGGAGACAAGAGACACCTTTCCAAGGCTACACAGCTGGGAAGGTCTGAATCGGGGTCCAAACCTAGGTGGGCTGACTTTGCAGCCGGGACCATTAAGGACAACACTCCCATTAAATTCTCAGGGGAGCTCGGGAGTCCCTGAACCAAGGGGCCCCAACTTGGCCACGATAGACCCATTTTAGAGATGGGCCCCCAGCCATACACCCTCATCCAGCTTATTAACATTTGAAATATTAGGAAGAAAACCCGGCTATGTTTTACCCGGAGGACATTTTGCTGGAAAGAGAATTTATAGCCAGACTCTTTGCAAGGTTAAGTGGTGGGTCCAGTACTAGCAAGAGAAGACATTCATGTGAGAAAAACTGGTGCAAAAATGTTAAGCAGAAAAGTGACTGAAAATACAATGGAAGTGAAAGCGAACAGGGAGACCTTTCTCTGGCACAGAGTCCAGCATCTCATGGCCGGCCATCACCCACACCACTGCCACCCTTCAGAGGAGCCAGTTCAGGGCAATAAGAATTGTCCCTGATTTCAGGGAGATGCTCCAGCTTCCTCCTCAAACACACACACCCAGAGTTCAGTTTGACTGAGAAGAGCTGGCCAGAGGCAAGTCAGACGACCTGTAGTTTTAGAATTTGATCCAAGGCAAAAAGGTGACTCTCAAGGACGCACAGCTTTCCAAGTCACAGTCAAGAAAAGCAAGTGACACATTTTTAGCCACTTTTTGCCTCCATCCACCCAACTGGGGTCTTTCCTGTTCGAGAAACTGTTATTTATGACTCGGGACATTACGTGCATTGTAAAAGGAGTGAGTAGAGCTATCGATCAAGATAAGATCAACTCTGTAGCATCTGAGGTCTCAAACGGCTCCCATGAAATGATATTCCAGCCTGGAGCCAGATGTCCAAGGAGAAACCAACTACCCTATAAGGCAGTAACAGTGACCATGAGGCCGCAACTCCTCACGCAGACCAGTTGCGCAGACATGACACTTTCATCACCAAATTTTTAGGCTGAAAGGAACATCGGAAATCATCTCTTCCAATCCCCTCCATCTACAGATGAAGAAATTGAGCTCCCTGGGGCGGGAGGGAGGCATTCATTCAGCACTCTTCACCCAGAAAGGGGATGCAGACCAGGGCCCCTCATTTCTAATCCTCATCCAGGGCTCTTCCCAGTTCACCTCGCAGTCAACCCTGCATCACTATATATTAACTTTCCCACTGGAAAAATTTTTTTTTTGCCAAATCATGGAACCAACCCCAGTGCCCTTCAACAGATGAACGGATAGAGAAACTGTGGCGCTCTTATTCAATGGAATATTACACACTGGTGAGGAAAGGTGAAATGGTGGCATCTGGCACAAAATGGATGGCCTTTGAGGTGATTATGTTGAGTGAAATCAGTCAAAAAGTGAAAGACAGGTTTCAGATGGTTTCACTCATCTGCAGAATATAAATAGCAAATAAACAATGTAGACAATAGAAGAAATAAAACTCTGAGCTCAGCAAAAAAGCAAGATAATGGTTACCAGGGGGAATAGGAAAAAGGGGAGCAAGAACAAGGAGGAGAGGCAGGTGGGGCACAGATACAGGTGGTTTGGTGGAGGCTAAAAAAAAATTTAAATGTGCTGGATGGATTCAATAGTACGTTAAAGATGGACTAATAAAGAGAAAAATATGTTTTTGTAATTTTCACTTTTGAGAAGGGAAACTTTCCCTTTCCATGGTAGGCTCACGAGTTCCGCTTACTTTGGGTGGGTGGAGGTTTTCTTCGCCACCACCTCTGTTGATCCCTGATACATGTAAGCCGAAGTCAGCATTCTGCACATGAGTGCTATTGACAACCTCCTGGAGGAAGAGGAGAAGTCCACTGTGGGGAGCCACTTGGAGATGCTGCTTACAACAGCCTAGTCCATCATCCCACGGCAAGTGCCGGGTATCAGTTCTGTAAGCGGGAACCCCAGGTGTGATCCTGCCACCTCCATGCAGACCCAGCAAGATGAATCAAGTGTGTGCTTGTGCCACGGGGAGGGCTTGGGCGCAAGGTGTTGGTGGCTGGGCGAGGCTGAGTTTGGAGAGGCTGCGGTCAACAAGACTCCAGGGGGTTCACAGGCCCCGCCTTCACCGCCCCTCCGCCTGGCTCAGCCTGCAGTGGGAAGGCCAGACAACCTCCTGGGAGGCGATCGGTTTCATGATCACTCCTTTCTAGCCCGCCAGACATCCTCGATGTTAATACTTTCTGGTCCCCTTCACAATCTCCTGGTTTCTCTTTTCCTGAAAGCCCCGAATGTTTTGTTCTAAACCAGGAGCTTCTAGCATGGATCGCCAGAGTCAGAAGCCTTGATTTCATCCCCTGCTGGGCTCTCTCTTCTTGCTGTCCATCTCCTCCCCAAGAACATCCAGTGTGGAGGGCCTGAGCCAACTGTGAATGCTTTGGAGAAACCCCAGCAGAGGCCCTGAGACCCTGTCACACCCGACACCACCCCTGGTCTACTCAGGCACCCAGGGATGTGCTTTGGGACAGAAGGCCTGATCCCTGCAACTGCCTCAACGAGAGATGAGCTGGGCAGCCCTCCTGCTCTGACTGGACCCAGCCTCCCCTCTCGGGGCTGTCGTCTAGCACTCGGAGGGGAAAGGCTGGGTGGAGAAAGGACTCCTGCTCCAGTTAAGAACACTTAGGGCGCCCAGGGATTTGCTCCTGGTTTTAACCCAGCATGTAGGAAGAAAAGCTGCAATTTAACGATATCACACAGTAACTTAAAAAACACAGGTCCTCAAAAAATAAACGTGACTTTTTGTTAGAGCCATTCTTTACCCCTCTGCGATTTCACCAATACCAAGTAAAGCTGTGCCAACCTGTTTAGGATGCTCCTTATGGAGGGATTTGGCGTTCCCTGACTTCCCCGCCGTGCTTTTGGACCGAGGCCTCTGTTGACTGATCTTGGGAAGATTTTGATAACTGTCGCTTATCACTCTAAAGGGGAGAGCAAAGACCTTGGTGGAAATTATTTCAACCACTTAATTTGAGGTAACTAAGCAACTGTGGTGCATACTAAATGATAGTTCTGGAAAGCTGTGCAGATACACCATAATAGGGCCCTTCAATCTGCACTATCCTCCTCCTACCCACCCCTCTCCATCCTGGCCCTGACACACTCCAGTCAATCCGCTGGGTTCCTCCAAAACTAGTCAGGGGGTCCACCTCCTCCTGGAAGCCCTTGAATCATCCTCTTCTCTTCTCCCTACCATCTGGCTTCTGCCCCTCTGCTCCTAGCCTGTCTCAGAATATGTGGCTTTGCCAGCATATCCTCTCCTGAGCCTTCCACCTTTCTCACAAAGTACCACGCAGGCCAGGGGGAAGGCGCCAGGTTGGAAAGAGGCCTCTGTCTCAAATACAGCCTGGGGATGTGTTCATGGTTTCAACCCCAGGTACTGGGTAGACCCTGCCTCTTTCAAATAGCTTTCATCACATGTTCTGACACGGCTGAAGGCACTTGTGGAAGGAGCGCAAACCTCACCTCTCTGCTGTCAGGTCATCCCTAGTCACAAAACAAACTGTCCTGGAATATTATTCACCTCAGGCAAAATGAATGGATGGGACTGGGATCAGGGCAGCAGCTGCCTCTGGTGGACAGGGGGCTAGTGACTGGCCTGCTGCTGGGTTGGGGTGGCAGAGCTGACCAGCCATCTACGCATTTGTCTGTATTTTATATGTCAGTACAAAGGTGAGGCAAATGTGTACGTTACATCCTCACAATTGGACATAAAATCCAGTACTGGAGTATTTCCAGTCAGGAAATGACCTGCAGAGAGAAGCAGCACTTGCTTGGGGGCATGATGTGAAGCCTGCGTCCTCAAGTGTTGCTCCTCTGGGTTCTTTTGTGTTTACACGTGAGGCACAAAGGCAAGGCTCACTGGAACTTTTCTCCCCATGTCCTAAGTGAGCAGCTACTTCAACCCCATTTCTTTGTGAGAAAGGGCAAGTTGTCTGCGTCTGATATGGACTCACAGCTGTGGTTGGTGAGCCCACCCGCACAGTCATACCACCAGGGTGTCCACGTGGCCAACAAGCGTCACCCCAGGGTGGGGGTGGTGAATGGGTGTTATGAGGGCGTAGCAACTGACAGTTTCTCAGGCATGTTTTTCATCTGTAAACTAGAAATAATGTCTGTCCTCAGGTCTTTTGCTGGCACAAAAATGAAATGTCTGTGAAGTGAATTCCAAACATTTTACAAGAGCAAACCCTTATGAATAGCCTTGATTTAAATGAAGCGAGGTGATATATATATAGTTCAAGTCGCACCAACTTCTTGTGGGATTGTCAGGGAACTGGAAGCCTCTATTCCCATTTTGATCTCCCTCTGGAGGTAACTGGCTCACAGCTGTTTTAACATAACCAAAGATAAATTCACTGATGAACTCACTTCCAGTCAACACTAAGGATTGCAAAATTCTTCCTAGCATGGAGCCAGATTCAGCCTGATTTATTTAGTCACCCATCCTACGTGTGTCCTGCAGAATTCTGCAGAGAAGTTCCGATCAATCCCTCTTCAGAGAGTGAAGGCTGCTGCAGCATAAGCTAGGGACCTCCCTCCCCAAGTCTGTTTTTCAAGCCAAATACCCCCACTTGCTCCGGTCATTCCTAAAGTTACCTGATTCCCAGATTCTTCCTCATCCTGGTCATCTTCCTTTTGTCCACTGTCTTCTGACCAGAATAGAATCCTACTATTTGGACACTATATTTATATTGATGAGGCCTGAGACCACATTGGCAACCAAATCACACAGTTGACTTATATTGCACCTGTGGTTGTAACCCAAATTTCTAGGGGGACGAGGAAAAATTTCTAGGTCTCTGACTGTAACGGGGGTGGGGGGGGGAGCTATTCATTGTGAATCTTTGATGGGAGTTCAAATTTTATTTCATTAAATTTCCTTTTGCTGTTTTGTGGCTCACATCCCAAATGACCAAGATCTTTGGGCATCCTAATTCTCTTATCCAGCACCTTAAATAACCTTTCCTCATTTGGGTCATCTGCAAAGCTGTAAACCAGGAGCTCACTCTCTGAAATGAGATGCAAAATCAGGAAAAGACGCTTTCATTCGTTTACAGTCAATCACAACACAATCTTTCCTTTCAACAACTATCTTTGAACATAAAATTGTAGACAAACACCATTCTTTACTTTCCTAGTTGTTCTCTCTGACTCCACTCCATTGCTATCCACCCTGGATGCCTGCCACGTACAAACACCCACTCAGGCAGGAGCTGCAGAAGGCCCAGGCTGCCGCGTGCCACTACGCTCCAGCCCTCGAGGAGACGGTGCTGATGTCTCCACAAGGCAGGGAAAGCTAGGAAGTTCCAGGCCTGAATGTGTGGCTAAAAAATAATCAGAATTCAAATTTGTCCCCAAAGCTGGTCTCTTGAAATGCTCCTCACCGTTTCTATTCTCTGATTCTATTTATCACCAGAGTCTGACTAGTTATATGAAACTACAAATAAAAGAATAACATTTTGGTCAAATAATAAAAGGTTCTTAAAGAGCACGAAGCAAAGGGAGCCTCTGGCCAAGGGTTCTTGGGAGTCTGACCAGAGGCAAGCGTGGGCTCCACGACGAAATTCACAAGCAAGACCAAACAGCACTGTGCGGTGTCTCTGTCCCTTCCTTCTTAGGCCACAGACAAGGGACCAGAGTCACAAGGGCAAGGACGTAGGCAAGAGACAGAAACTCCTGCCTTATGAGGAGGGCCTAGTGAGCTGCTTAGAGTCACAATCGAAGTCTTATTTTTTCAATCATATTCTAAGATTTTTTTTTTTTTTAAATTTTGGTGACTGCCCAAAGGTTGTGTGGTTCTGACCAGAATTCCACTTCAAATTTCCCCTGAGGCCAGGCCTTGATGGCTCAAAGCCATCCCAGCCAAGCAGCAGTGCCCTTGCATTTGCAAACAGGCTCTGACCACAGAGATGAGGGAGGATGGGGTTAAGCGTGTCAGGTAGCAGGAAGAGAGGAATGAGGAGAGCTTTGAGGCAAGTGGGGTGTAGGTGGGCTTGTGGGAAAGTGTGTCAACTCAGAACCATTCGAGAAACAGAGGGGTTCTAATCAGTTGTTACAAATCCCAGTGAAATTTGGATTTGAGAAACTGAAGAAAGGGTTGTCGGATTAGCCTAAGAAAAGGAAGGAGAAAAGAAAGACTTGATTATCTTCAGACAGATCAGGACATGTGATCTGGGAGTTCATAATGAAATTCAGTGATTTAAAAAGGGGAAATCCTATTTTTTTTGGGTGCTCACTATGTGCTAGGAACTTACTATGTATCATAAATTGGTTCCAAGGTAAGTAGCAGAGCCAGGAATTAAGCCTGGGACTTTTAATCTCTGAGGTCCATACTTATCCTACCGCATGGCCTCGAAAGACAGGGCACCAGTGGATACAATTATTTGTGGGATAAAACCAGGAGAAACTGCAGACATTGGCCCACATCCTGGACATCTGTAACACGAGGGGAAATGATGAGTAGGTCCCCAAGGCCCCTGGACCACTGGTATTGCTAGTTGATAAGCATGCAGCTGCACTGGAGAAACTTCTGGAAAGGGATACCCCAAACTCCTAGAGTTGAGCTGATCAAGATGAATTACCATTCACTTTACCTTCTGGTCTTCCCTCCACTTCTTATTGGTAAATTATTTTCTGCTGTGGCAAAACAAACATTGGGAGGAAAGAAAAAAGTTTAATTTTTAAGAGAAAATAAACCTTGAGTTATACTCTGAAAACTTATGTTACAGCATTTTGGAATCCTGAGACTCTACTAAGCTATTCTAATCTGACAAGAGGTGATATCACCACCAGCTAGAGAACAAAGCCTGGGCTTCCCAGGCATTTCCACACAGAGAAAGACCCCAGAGGCCGCAGATGTTAAGCATGTTGGAGGCACACTAGGTCATAGCTAGCAATCTAGACATCAAGTCAGATCATGTCAATAATCATGCTGAGGCTCCGTGGTTATGGTCCATACTTTTTTTCACCAAGACTCACTCAGGTCTAACAAGCAGCCAAGGACGCTGAGCCCGGAACCCAGCACTGGAAGGGTGCTCAGATAAAATATCCCTCTCGGACCCCTTCCAGCTCTGAGATTCAGCCCTGGCTATTTTAAATTGACGTTCCTCTTGGTTTCCTGGTCCCTACATGAAATGTTAAAGTCTGTGGCTTAACAAGTGCCTGTAAACAGGACAATGATCTCCCTTGGTTTATAATTACTTCCCCCACTTACAGACTTCTCAGTCAATGTTACGACAAAACACAGGGCCCTCGCTTTAGATCTTTCCTCCAGCCAGCCTCTGTGACTGCTAACCTACACTGGGTCTTTGCATTATATTGATCACTATCTGGATTGATAGCTTTCAAAAGCATTTCATTATCTATACATGAGCTATTAGCTTCACCAATACTCATTTTCATGTTATTTTCAAGATAGATAATAGGTCTTCCCAACAAGAAAAGAGTCTTCTGTCATTTATCCGCCTCCACCAGCTCTTTTCATCTCTAAAAAAATGAGAGTGATATCAGTCTTCAGAAAGCACCTGTCATACACTGGGGTTTTGCTCTTACTGCTCTAAAACGTAGATTCTCAAACAAATGCCAACGTGACTCAAGGGACATCAGCATCCAGATGATCACATTTAAATCACCTGTGCTGGATCCACGAGAGGCTACACAAGTCTTCTGTTCTAGTCTTTGAATTCAGAGGCAGGAGCACTATCTAACTGGGAATAAAATGAGGAAGAAACACTAATCTTAAAGAGGAGCTAATGTCTTATTTCTAGAATATAGCCATGTACCTGTATCTGATGCCTTTTTGATAATTTTGGGGTATTTCTGAAATTTTACATAATAATAACTCTCATATTCCATCAAAATGGTTTCAAGATCAATGTTGTCACAGACTTCAAAGCGTCGTAACCCCAGTTTAGTTTCTTGCTCCAAAGCATTGGCTGTGTCGAAATATCTGCAATTTCACAGAAGAAAAAGAAAAAGAAAATTACTTCTGGGTAAAAAGAATAAAGGCAAACAGGTGTTGCAAGTCCAAAGAGACTCAGCACAAAGAATAAGCCCATGTCAAATGGCACGTTAGATGAAAACCAGACTATATGAAGCCTGCCTATGGAGGAAGAGCTTCGCATGTTAAATGTATACAATTACTGTCCTTTAAAGTGTTGCCTCTGCCAACTGCGGTGGGGAGAGGGGGGTGTTGGTAGGAGGGATTACAGTCAGGATGGGGGGATGGGAATTGTATGGGGACTATAACCAAGATGATAGAGCATACATTGTGCAAAAATGAAAAAATGATGTAAAAAAATATATAAAATAAAAAATTATATATTAAAAAAACCTAAGTAACTCCAGCTGGCTTTTAACTGTGGTAAGTGAAGACACTTTTTCTGATGATTATTGTTTTTTTCTGGTCTTTATTGTGTGCAAAGCAGAATTCATTTTAGGAAGCTCCTGTGTATATTAATTTCTTCTCATGCTCAGTATTTCTTTCTTCTGCTCTGAATGACCTGATATGATGTCACTTGGGCTGTAGTAAACATTTTTTTTAAAAGAAAGAAAAATAAAGTGTTGCCTCTGGAAACTACACAATTATTTTAAAGACATCATCATTGTTCAAAATGTTTTTAGAAGTACATAAAAGTCAAGTAAGTAAATTAATGAGAAAAGTGTTTTGTGATTCATCTTTATTCATTTTTAGTCAAAAATCGGTATCTGTTCAACTTGATTACCTTGTCATTCACCAGTATTTATTCTGGGTAACACTGGCAATTGATAAAACCAAAATTCAAGCCCACCAAGCAAGATTTGCCACCCATCACGATATTAAAAAAGATGTCATGAGCTTTGAAGGAAATGCCAATGATATGTTGATCAATATCATCAAGCAAAATTAGTGTAAAAAAAATTATCCACTTGGCTGTATTCTCTCTGTTAATGTTTCTGTCAGTCACACACTACACTACCTAGTCCTTCTGTAAGTAATGTCCTCACCACGGGTTCCTTACTGCCATTTTTAATGTATTCCATCATAAAACTGATTTAAGTGGTGCTAGCAATAGAAAAAAGGGCCTTTTCTCACAATCCTCTGAATGTGTAAAGATCCTTCAGGTTTTAATCTTAATTCTTAACTTCTTTTTAAAACCAAGGAGACTCTTCTGAAAAAATATACATGTCAATAAATATGCGCAAATTAGCATAAAATTTTAGGGGCTCATCCAGGGACCGCAGATTAAGGATTCCTGCTGCAAGTTAGACTCTTTTTAATTAGAATCTGGGAAAGTAGAAGGAAAAATTTTCTCTTTTATTGTGCTCTCTTCCCTACCCCAGATTCAGATCAGATGGAACTTTCTTAAAAGGGATTGCCATGGTTATTTTCAATGACCTTGCTTATTTCAAAGAACTTGCAAACATCAATTGACTGTAGTTGACCAGTTTCTATAATTACTGATGACTCATCAAGCTTCTATGCTACGTCTCAACTCCTGTTTAATAGAAAGAACTAACTGAATCTGTTTTATTATTAGCTTCGTTTAGTATAGAGTTATACATGTTCAGTTAAAAAAAAAAAAAACTAGAAGCTAAAGATAAGTTCAAAAGAAAATTTCACTAATGACAGTGAATGTTAACCTTTTCTCTGTATTTCCAAACATTTTTAATGACTAAATACATACACTTACATATATGCACTTGTAAAACCAACCAAAAATAAAATGCCAGATGGAAACACACACTGCAGTTTTGCTCACAGCCTTTACTGACATCATAGCACATTCGGAGTGTTTCCCAGCATCATGACGTTCTGATCAAATAGCAATTACAGACTGGATGTTGTACTTCCCCATGTTCCCTAAACTAGCTGATGAGGGCAGCAAAACTGTTCTATGTATTCCCATGGTGGAGGCTAAATGGTGAAATTGCTCTTAGACCTTAAAGAACACAAAAAGAAAAATAAATTAACATTTTTCTTGCTGAGGCTTGTATTTACAGATAAATAATTGCAATAACCTTGAACTGAGCACCAGGGCCAGCTGGAAACTAAGAACACAGAGAAAGCAGCTGCTACCCAGAGGCGGCCACCTTGAAGGAACTGCACCCTGGCCCTGGACTCCACCTGGAAGCACAGCCTTCTCAAACTGCTTCAGGTGGGTTAGTGGGTTCATTCAGCCCTGTGGCCACTGTTAGCAGAATATGCTGACTTCCTTCAATCTTTGGCCCTTGCTGTTCAAATTACTTACTCGCCCTTGTCTCCAAAAGCCAGCTGAATTCAAGGGATGTCAAGCCCATAGGACTGGCTTACAGAATGGTGATATTGGGTCTCCTCACTCACGGGAATTCTGGAAGTTATTCTCATCCTCCTAATGGTGGGGTCTTGTCTGGTCATACGCTTGGTGTCAACATTATTAAAGGGGTTTCTACCCGTCCCAAGCCTGGAGCCCTGTGTGTGTCTCTCTCAGGCTGAGACAGAATTTCAGTCCTCACACCTATAGGTAGGGCCTCCCCAACATTCAGCAGGAAGCAGCTACAGAAGATTGACACTGGTGTCCCTTTGCCCTTTAACAAGGAGGAGGAAAGATCTCTCAGAGGGAATGAGACAGGAAGGGTCCTGGGACAGACACAGAGGGACAGGACTCAACTCTTCACTGTTCCCATTGTTTTCACTGGACTAGGAAGCAAGAGGTTAAATAAATATGAACAGGGCTGAAATCTCTGAGGGAGGTATGAGGTAAATTGCAGCCTCCCCCACTCCAGTGATTCTGGAAAGACCTCCATGCACATTCCAGGGCAAGATGACCCACATCCTACTTGTTTAAAATCCCTCTGTCCTGGTTAAGGTCCAGGGCCCTGCTATGGCTCAGTAGTCTTGCTAAACAAAAAACTGGTCAGAACCAGTTCAGGACCCCACCAGTGAGCCCCCTCCAAATAAACATATGTATATCAGCAGCCTTGAGACCCAAGGCCCGATTCTCTCCTGAACTTGCCCACACTCCTTCTTGAGTGTGGACTATCACTTGCCATAAGAGATTCATTTCTAACTCACTCTGATTCCCATGCTAATTCTTTCCTGAGCCAAAGTCAAGAACCTCATGCCCTGGGGGATGGCCTCATTGTTCCCAACTCATTCCTATTACAGTGTTGGAGCTTGAATGCCATCTGAACTGAATGGGGCTAGTTGAAGGAGCCACCAGAGGATTTTAACCAAACAGAGTGACAGGACAGGACTTCAGGAAGAAGAGCGAGGGGTCGTGAGCAGCAGGCGAGAAGGGGAGGCTGAGTCACGGGCCGGCCGACTGGGTGACTCTGCGCTGTGGGATCCCACCCTCCCTCCCTCACACGTGAACTCTGGGCTCTCTGCTAACCTGATTGTTCCACGAATGCTATGTCCCTTCTTTCTCTCCATTACATCTATTTGTCTGGATTTCACACATCTTTCAAGACCTGCTCACATGGCCTTCATAGCAAAGCTTTCTTTGACTATTTATTCCAATCTACAAGAATCTATGCTCTTTGCTGAACTCTCAGTATTTTGTCAAAGGCAGGTCTATGTGTACTTCAAATACCTAAGTTTCGCTTTTCATCTTGATAATCCACTCAAAGTCGCTTACCCAGCAGATCTCAAGAATTTTCACTGATTTGAGATACAAAGGGCCATCTCGTGGCAGAGAGGGGGAATGCATGTTTTGTACAGTAAATTTTGGGCCATAACAGCACCTGCAGAAGGTATACATATGCTGACTTTGTCTCTTTGTTTTTATAGCTTTCCTTCCTGATACATTTTCGAGAATACAAAATACATCATAATAAATGTCGGGAATTGCCTGTGTAAATGGCTGTGTCTGATTTCTAATTATTCTACCCATTTACATGCTAGTAAGTTCCTCAATAGAACTTTTCAAATAATATTTATTGAGCATCTATTACACTGTGCTCACAGTATTGGGTCTTATGAGGTGAGTTCAAGTGTTGTAAGAGTCAATTAATCCATGAAGGCAGTATTTCTCAAAGTGTTCCATGGCAAACTAGTACATAAAAACGGATTGAGGAAAATAAGGGTGCCTTGGCAAAATTGGCTTGAAAAACTCTGAAAACTGTGACTTCAGGCCAGAGATTGCCATTGCACATTAGTGAGTTAGACTGATCCAAGAAGTCCTGAAATAAGGAGGCCTATTTAACTTCATTTAACCCAATGCTTTGTCAAGTTTCCCTCGCCACAAATGCTTTTAAAGTAACATCTATTAACATTCTGCAGGACCACTGCTCCAGTGTTCCACCTCTTAAAAAATGTGGCCTTGAGGTATTTTAGTCCAGGGTTCTTTGTGTGGAGCCGAGATTTCATCTAAAGACAAAGTAAAATGGGCCAAACCCACATTCCAGCCACTTAAGGTCCTTTGCTGAACCAGGTTGGGTATTTAAAATATAAAATCCCAATCCTTCCTCCTCTGTAGTAAAAATAACAAGTGCTCCTACGTGCCTGCTTTGTGCTGGCATTATCTAAGCATGGCACATATTTAACCCTCATAAGAGTAGTATCTACCTGACACTCAAACACTGCCTCCCATTACCCCACTTTACATACGAGGGAACTGAGAAACAGAGAGAGTAAGTAACGCGTCAAGGTCACTGATTAGCAAAGAGTAGGGTGAGTACCTGAACCCAGGCCATCTGGCTCCCAAGTCTCTGATCTTATTCCAAAGCCCCCCCTACCAGGCTAGCCCACCTGCCCTTACCTTAGAGCAGATGGATAGTCACCAGGGAAAAGCAACCCACCACCCAAATGCAGACTGTCCAGGTCAATTTCAAGATGGGGAAACAGAGGCAGAGAGAGAGACAAAATCAGCCCTGCTCTGCCCCCACCCTCAGTTCCAACCATTGCTGTGTGTGGGTTTAGAGATTTAGCAGCTGAGTGTTGATTTTTTTTTTATTAAAATGTCATTTATTGGGCCTCCCCGGTGGCGCAGCGGTTGAGCGCCAGGTTGCGAGGCTGCCCGCAGCCTCTGCGGCGCCGGTTCGATCCCCGGCTGCTCCCTGGCCACCGGAGGAGGGTCCCACATGGCGCGCAGACCTCTCCTGCCGCCCGCTGCTCCCCTCAGCAGTGTACTTTGGTCCTTCTGCCTGCTCTGCTCCCCGCTCTGGCTCTGGTGAATTCTCTCACCCTCCCGCGCTTCTGACTGTACCCAATGCTTGTATAAATAAATAAATAAATCCTTAAAAAAAAAAGGCCATTTAAAATAAATAAATAAAATAAAATGTCATTTATTAGTGCTGTTAATTTAATGTTAATATATTAATGTTATTGGTTATGTTATTAATGCTTATTTTAAAATTGCATTTATGGTTGCTAAAAGAGAAAAGGTCGCTAAAAGATAAAAAGCTTATTTGATCAAAAATAATTTGAATTAGGTAACATCAAACCAGATGTGGCTAGGAGTGTTCCACTGCTGGAGTTAGAGGAAAGGCTTTTATAGAGTAAAGGTAGAAGAAATGCAAGGAAAGAATTTAACTATACATTAAATGGTTGTCTTATTTGGGAAAACCTTAGTTGTCTGTGATTGGTTTTCCTTAGGTTCAAATTTCTTAACCTTGATGTAATTATTTAATTAATTTTTTTAATTGTAAAGCATTTTATTGTATATGTATATATATTCTATTTTTTTAATTTAAATTTTATTTTTATATTCCCCATACAATTACAACCCCCTAATTTTGACCCCAATCCCTCCTTTCCCCACCCCCAACCCCCCCCATAGAGAGTCTCTGGTTCATAGTTGTTTGTTGATTTTGTGATTGTCTGTTTTGCTAACCAATTGGTGCATCTCTCTGACCCGAGACTGACAAGTGATATGAAAAGAATAAACCACTTTTTTGATAAAATTTAAATCCCCAACACAAAAAAGAAAAGTGTGCAATAAAACCATGTATCACAAGCTAAGTGGACTGAAGAAAGTTTTTGTCTTCAAAATGATGCAGTCTGTACCATTTACTTTGGAGAAAAAAGCTATTTCCACAATCTGATATTAAGGTGTTATGAGGAAGGCCACATTTTGTAATTAAGATCTAACATGGTCAGTCAAAGGGAGAAAATAATTCAAGTTTACTCAATAAACAAAGTCTGTGCAAAGGTGCAGTGTTATAATAGGCAACCAAAATATCAATACATGCATCTGAACTCTTGGCAAAAGAACTCAAATCCTTTAATGACTTAAATAATAAAAGCGGGGGTAAGTACAACTGGAGATATTTCATTTTCAGACTTAAAAAAAAAACACCTCGGGCCTCCCCAGTGGCGCAACAGTTGAGTGCTGGGTTGCAAAGCTGCCCGCAGCCTCTACAGCACCGGTTCAATTCCCGGCTGCTCCCCAGCCACCGGAGGAGGGTCCCACATGGCGCGCAGACCTCTCCTGCCGCCCGCTGCTCCCCTCAGCAGTGTACTTCGGTCCTTCTGCCTGCTCTGCTCCCCGCTCTGGCTCTAGTGAATTCTCTCACCCTCCCGCGCTTCTGACTGTACCCAGTGCTTGTATAAATAAATAAATGTTTAAAAAAAAAAAAGAAAAATCTTTAAAAAACAAACAAACAAAAAAACAAACAAACAAAAAAAAAAACCACCTCAAAATTGTGGCCTGTGCCCATTCTTATTTTCCTGAGATGATTTTCAAACAAAAACAAATTCTTCCACCTTGGAGTAGAGGACTAAGATTCTGGAAGACTGGGAAGGAGACAAGCCTGGAAGTGCTGCCCATATTGCACTCTCAGAGTTCCTTTGCTCAGTTAAACCCAGTGTCTTCAAATGTAAAATAGGGACTTTATTCCTACTTTAAAAATTAAAAGAACAATTCCTCAAGGTCTCTGGAATGGCCATTTCCTTCAAGAGATTAATGGGTTTACTTAGAACAGCTACCAGGGTTCAGAGACATAATGACAAGGTCTCCTGTCCTTGCTGCTGCCTCTGACCCCAACCCTCAGGTCACTTGATTCTCCAGCCCAACTTCTGGTTTCACTCCTTCCCCTACCCCCCTAGCAGGGCTGGGTTAACTGAAGGAAGAGATGGGCTCAACCTTTTGGGAAAATACCAGCAGCTGGTTGATTCTTTGTGCTTGAAGGAGTTTCCACCTTGACACCACTGACATTTGGGCCAGATAACTGTTGTGGGGGGCCATCCTGTGCCTTGAAAGCATTTCGCAGCATCCCGACCTCCACTCACTAGATGCCAGGTGATAGTCAAAAAGGCTCCAGACATCCTCAAATGCCCCCTGAGAGGCAAAATGACCCACCTGAGAACCACTGCTCTTAATTCAAACATTTCCAAACCCTAAATCTGAAACCTGAAGATATTCTTCCTGGCTGAAACTTGAAAAGAAAGGAAACTCCCAGACACTTTATGGGTCAGCTCTCTTGCGCTCATGTACTCAACCTTCTGGCAGCCTTGATTGTAGGTGCCTGTGTGATTTTAAATGAGCTAGGTGGCCACACTCATTGCTTCCCAACGCCCTCTCCCTACCAGTCACAGAATAGACATTGCAAAGGGAAACAAGTTGAGTGTAGGTCATCCAGGTAAATCTGATACCTTTATTGTGAGGGAATGAAAATTGAGGAGTAAGAGTGTTACCTCTGAGTACAGAGCCAGCAGTGGGGCTCTGGGAAACCTCACCTGAAGGCCTGTGCAATCTTCACCTGTGCTATCTTCAGACCCGAGAGGAGAGTCTCATGAGCAAGGTAACTTTGTTAATAAAGTTTTCAAATGCAGCAGATATCTAGGTAAATGAAGTAGTAGGTCTATGTGTCTGGGTTGCTGGGAAGGTGAGGCAAGGATGATGGGACAGGGCATGTGTAGTGTAGCAAAGCTTCCATAGGATACCGTGATGGTGGGACGTGACATGATGAATTTGCCAAAACTCATGGGACTACACAACACAAAGGGTGATCTCTGATGCAAACTACGGGCAGAGTGAATAACACGATATCCGATATCAACGTTGTTGAGTCCTCAATTGGAACAAATGGACCACACCAAAGACAGGTGTTAAGAGGCAACTGGGTAGGGCTCAGTAGGGCTTGGTGGGGGGTTACTACTTTATGGGAACTCTGCTCCATTTTTCTGTAAATGTAAAACTACTCTGTTTTTATCACTGTGTCTGGAAAAGTGGAGGTCAGAAAAAGACAGAAATCAGCTCTGTAAACATTTGTAATATAACTTACCCTTCCTGTGTTAGATAATGCAAAATCAAAATTAGAAGGTTTTTTCTTCGTGCTTCTGTTCTCATCTCGCACTGTGAACAGAGGAGAAAAATTTAGATGGGACAACAGTGAGATTTAACACTCCTTTTATAGCAGTGAACCCTTGAAGGTAAAAGTAACCTGTCAAACCAAGAAGCATGACTTAATGGCTGGAAGGCAGTTTGACACCTGTAAGGGTATATACAATTGTTTCTGTTGTTACATTCTTTTTTAGAGCTCCCTTCTAGATTGTCACCTGAAGATGCAAGTATTCAAATTAGGGTTTCAGTTTACTAGCTAACTTCTTACTGCCAACTTTTTATAACCACAAAGAAACAAATACACACACTTCTACTGCTTGGACCAGGTTAAGGAAAGTGATGATAAAGTCTTGTTGAGTTAGAAATCAATTCTGACATCACAGGTAACTTACTCATATCAGACTCATATCAGATACCGGGTATCTCCCACCCTGATGCACTCATAAAATACTTGACTTGCCATAATATCTCCCTAATTTGAAAATAACTTACTTAACATCTTTATCAAAGGAGAATGCAAGAAAGAACTAGAGAGAAGTAAAAAAGGCCCATGAGTGGCCCAAATTATACCATAAAATCTATAAACAAGCACTCATGCTTATAACACATAAAAACTTTTCAGCTCTTCACCCAGAGCTTTCTCAAATATTAATGTTGTAGTAAAATCAAAGCATTAAATAAAATTTAAACTATGTTTCAGCAACCTGGTTATTTAAAAATTAAATAGTTCTGTACATTTTTTAAGTTGCCTTTTAAAAATTGTAGTCATGTGTACATGACACAAGATTTAGCCTGTTACCCTTTTTTGCACCTCAAGTTCCTCAGATACTAAGTGTCAATTACACTCTCTCCAGCCCTCTACCCCCACCCCCACCCCCAGCTTCCCTGAAGCCTCCAGCATCTCCATCCACCAGAGATCGCAGACTCTCAGGCCTCCTTTGGGTGCTTATCCAGCGATTTCCTTTTGAAACTTTCCTGCACTGGGCCCCCTGGAAATGGAGTGTTCTCCTTTCTGGGTCACACCTTGGTTCAATGCACACCTCCCCTTGAGTAAAGGCACATGGAGTTTGGAGATGTTACACAGCTCTGGTGAAGACTGAACGTTTTGTAACTGGCCGAAATTAGCGATGATGGTCAAAGTCTTTCCCTCTTCTTTGTATTTTGGCTTTGTTATTGTCGGCTTTTTGTTGTTTAGAGTTGGTTGGATTTTTTTTTTTTTTTTTTTTTTTGGTTTGTTTTTTGTTTGTGGTAATTTGATTTGCCTCGCCTATAGTGCCATCTAGTGTATTAGGAGGAAAAAATACTTGTGAAATTTAGGGAGCTCCATAATTTGCAAATAAAGATGAAAATCATCATAAAAACACTCTAAATCAAGTTTGCAAAATAAAAATAGGGTCACATGGATTTGTTTCTAAATGTGCAAAATTCTCAAATTTATGTTGAGGGTTTGGTTTGGAATTTAAGGAGTCTAAAAGGTGTCTGCCCATCACTGTATCTCAGGGACCTGAGATCCAGAAGAGTTTAGAGATTTTCTCAGGAGCCCATAAAGAGTTGGGCACAGAACTTAGATCTTTTGCCCCCACCCCAGGCCCCCACACACAAGCTCTTGCCTCCACCAACTCCTCCTGGACATTATTACCCCCTCCTCACCAACCTCCACTCCCATCCCTAGATATTCACTCTCAACCAGAGAGAAGCTGCTATTTTAATTTGCCAAAAACAAATTTGTGAGCCAAATTTGCCAAAAAGCATACAACTGGTTACCCATCTTTCTTAGTGGACTTAACTGGGTAACAAATGGTGTCACTAACAATTCCTCAAACCTAATATCCCACTTTAGTCACCATTTCAAAGCAACTGGCAGAGACCTTCTTGGAAAAATTAGTCACCCTGCAGCGCCAGGAGTCACGTGTCTCATAGGAAATTATGCCTTTTAATTCCTGAGGAGTCACAGCTCTGGTGTCAATCAGGCTATTCCATGCCACAAGCCTTTAAGAACTAAAGGCCTGGGATTACTGAACCTTGAAAGCAACGTAAACGCCAGACAGGCTGCACTGGATACTGCCATTTCCACCGATTTTCATGACCCTCTAGATTTTGAGGCTCCGCTGCAGTGTCCTGGAAATCACATGGGGCAAAGCCTGGCTTTACATACTGTGGGGTGTTACGTCGGGTCAGAATCAGTGGTGGGTACTCATCGCTGTGCTCCATCCTTCACTCTGGAAGCACGAGCATCTTCCTGATCTAAACATGCACTGATGCAAATGTCCTCTTGGGACTAGATACTGAGAACTAGAGAGCCCAGGGTTTTGCCCCTGCTCCTCAGTGATGTGCCCTCTGTACTGCCTTTGGCTCAGAACCCTGAATTTCCTCAAGATGAGGTTCTGAGTGGACCCAGAAAACTCAGGAACAAAAAAAAAAAAATCTCAGGAGAGAAGTTTTTAAAGGAGTAGTGTAAAAGAATAAAGGTGAAGGGGAGAATGGAGAAACAAGGGCTATGACAGTTAAGGAGTGCAGTTTCTTTTAAGGGGAACAAAAATGTTCAAAAATTATCATGGTATGGTTTGCCTAGCTGTAAGTATACTAAAGGTCAATGAGTTGTACGCCTTAAGTGAGTGACCCTATATGAATTATATCTTAATAACACTGCTTTTAAATGCAAAAAAAAAAAAAAGAGGAGAGATGTAGAGAAAAGAAGGTTAAGAGAAATGTAAATAATTTAGGTAATTTTTTTGGTCCTGATATATACAGTTAATGGTCCAGTTGAATATAGAAATAATTTCATGCAATATTTTGAAGTTATTCAAAGTGGAAAATAGGAAGGGGTGGAAGCTTATCACCCACATCACTTCGAGGGGCTGCTCCCTGCCCTGGGGGTAGAGCCAGCAGGTCTTGGACAGTGACACTTGCTTGTTCTGATAAATCGGCAAAAACAAGTTTGCTGTGTCAGTGTGACCATAGGATACACTAACCAGAAAGAAAAGAAAACACAAAATTCTCTGGACAGAACTTTCTCTTTATATTTTTTCTTTTTGGCTTTATTGTAAGTAGCAATGCTCATGAAAGTAGAAAAATCCACTTAAATATAGTTAATATTTCCTTAATTCATTGAAACAAAAGTAAACATCTTTCAAGAATCTCAAAAGATTTTAATGTAAAAAGATGTAATTTTGATATTATCCAGAGTTGGAAGGATGAAAGAAGATGTACTTAGATGCAATTGGTGGAGTTAGAAACTGGTGCAAATTTTTTTGTAGAACAAATTCACAAAATCCATTAAAATGAAAAATGTACACACCCGCTGACCCAGCAATTTATACTACTAGAGAGCAATTGTACTATATTAAAGAAATACTCCCTTTATGTACAATGATTAATGTTTGAGGATGCACATTATTTGCAGCATTATTTGTATCCGCAAGCAATTAAACATCTCCTAAATGTCCACCAGTGTTAAATAAATACAGCCTTGCTATGGAATACTATGCACCAATGAAAACAATGATGTGGATCCATATATAGTAACAAAGAATGATTTTGAAGACAATGTGTTTTCTCCCCATCCACTCACTGCCCACTTTCAGATTATTGTGTCACTTGGAGAAAGAAAGTTTGAATTAAAAAGTAACATTTAAATTTGACAAGTAAAACCTCAACTAGTACAGAAAATATGAAAACAAAGTTCCTCTCTTCACTCTACCAACCATTGTTAATGTATTGTGTAATGGTTCTGAAGAGGAGTACGGATATATCAGCACGTACATGCAAAAACTTTAAAATTAAAAAAAAAATTGTATACACTTTTGGGCACCTGGATTTCCCACTTAATAATGTATCTTAAAAATCTTTCCATATGAGCACATGCAGATCTACCTAATTCTAAGACATGCTGTCAAGTGAAAACTTGCAGAAAAAGCAAAGAATGAAAAAGCCTAGATACCTAGTTTTCTCTGGGTAGTGGCATGGGCTGGAAGCACAACATCTGAAGTTTTATTTATTTTTTTTTTTTAAGATTTATTTATTTATTTATTTATACAAGCCCTGGGTACAGTCAGAAGCGCAGGAGGGTGAGAGAATTCACCAGAGCCAGAGCCGGGAACAGAACAGGCAGACTGACGAAATACACTGCTAAGGCGAGCAGCAGGCGTGGCAGGAGAGGTCTGTCGCGCCATGTGGGCCCCTCGCCGGAGGCTGGGGATCAAATCGGTGCTGCAGAGGCTGCGGACAGCTTTGCAACCCAGCGCTCAACTGCTGTGCCACTGGGGAGGCCCCCCACCTGAAGTTTTAATCTATACTCTTGTGATTGTTTAAAATTAATACTTTGGTAAGTAATAAGGAAACAAATGCACTGGCTCGGGTTCAGATGTTCACAATCAGAAAATTGCTAAGGCAAGAAATTCTATTACTACTTTGGTAGATGAGCCACATCAGGGTTCCCCCTGTTCCAGCTTCCATAGAGGTACAGTGACAGGCTGGGGGTAGGAGGGGATGTCCTGATGCTGATGTGGCCTCAGGTGTTCTCATTCACTTAGGCTCCTAACAAGTCACCCAAAGGCAACCCTCTATACCTTATTTCCCCTCTCCAGATCCCCCTGAGCTCTCTTTCCTCCCTCTCCCCAATCCACACAACCCTCACAGAGGGAAAGAAACCTAAGGGCTTGTTTTTTTTTTTTAAAAAGATTTATTTATTTATGCATACAAGAGCTGGGGTACAGGCCAGAGATGCGGGAGGATGAGAGGATCCACCAGAGACAGAGTGGGGAACAGAACAGGCAGACTGACTGAAATACACTGCTGAGGGAAGCAGCCGGTGAGGCAGGAGAGGTCTGCTGCTCCATGTGGGTTGCTCCCTGGCCGTGAAGTCATGCTGCAGAGGCTGCGGACAGCTTCATATTGAGTGCTTAATCCCTTGTACCCCCAGGGAGGCCCAAAACCTAAGGGTTTTATTGCCCAATATCCTAGGAAGGACCTTGGGTTTCCCTGGCTGCCCTAATGAAACCTGAGCTCCATCA